TAGTTACATTTTCAACTTCACATACACTGAAGATTTTGTTCCCTTGTTTTTGTTTTAGGTAATAAAGGCTGTAACTCCAAATATTCTTCCAAGCTTTAATAAAACTCAACTTCTTGTACAGGTATCTCAACATAGACAAGATTTTGTGGAAGAAACCAAACAAAGCTCTGTATTTATACAAGCATCAAAAGTGACAAAGATGGAAGATTTAGATCAATGTAAACACATTGATCACAAAGCTCAAAACAGAAATATTCTCCATACTGCAATTCCAAAAAATATCAGTGGTAACACAGGAAAAGGAATTAAAAAAAGCAGATTTATTTTTTTATTGCATGCAGCCAAATAAATATTTAGATACATGTATTTTAAGTACTCACTAATGGGCCCTTTGTGAAGATTCATCAAATACTTGGAGTACACTGTTGCCAGCTGCTGGACTTATTTGTAATCCTACAATACTTTGGGGTTTCTACCCAAAGGCACTGTATTCCAAGAATAATGCTGTTAAAATCCTTTTAAACCACTTCTGACCCAGACTGACTTCTAATTTTTTCTCCAAAGAAGTCTAAAAACATTTAAATTGACAACTAAAATTAACTGTTTTAAGAAATAATAGGTAAATATCAAAAAGGTCATCTGGAATTTGACTTAAAATGTTTAAGAGATACTGGTTTTGAAGGAAGAATTGCTGGGTTTTCATATATACAATGAAGACCAACAGTTAATAAAAAAGCATTGCATTTAAAACAAGTACCCAAAATATGAATATTTTCAGAATAGCAGCAATACAGTAGGGCTATCAGGACTTCATCACATTTTTACAAACAAAAGATCTATATTTTAATTCTCATATGAAGTTCAAATTCTTTATAATCTCAAATTCTTGTTTGATTCATAGGAGAGATATTTTCAATTCTTGTGGTAAGCAGTATCAGTTTACCTGCAATAGCTTAAAAAGTTCCTCCTGAAGTTGCTTTTCATCTAGATCCTTGATGTTCTTAAGAAGTTCCTGAAAGTAAGTGCACAAGGCAATAATAGCTTCTTGGGATTCAAAGAAATTTTGAGCCTTTCCTTCCTTAAATACGTCAAAGTTGTCAATAGGTGGGCTAAAAAGAGAAGAACAAATATGTTGACATACTTCCCACATTCTTCGTTACAGCACATGCAAAGGAAGCTCAAAGGTCAGCCTCTTTAGACTGTACTGCAAGCCTTAATTAGATTTTCCACTTCTAATTTGTCATACTAGATTTTCACATATCTCCATAACAGCCTAATATTGCATTTTGCTAAAACGGACACTATGCAAGGCATCTTTATATAGCAATATATTCTGAAAGTGAACAAGTATTCAATCACAAAAACTCTGGGAACTGCACAGACAGTGAGCATTTTGAACTCCAATCTTCAGACAAGAGATTTAAAACTGTAACATACAAGCGAGCTAAAGTCAAGGAAAGCTGGACTGGTTTAAATGTGTTACTGTGTGCTGGAGTGTACTTCCCATACCAAATTCTCATCCAGTTAGGAAGTTATTCCTATGAAAGTCTTTACTGGGATTCTGGAAAATTGCCATGACAAATGACAATGTTGTAATATATAAAAATTATAGGCCAACCTATTATGAGACATATTTTCATGATGACCTTTTAACAAATGACTGAACTTCCAAGCATATGCTTAAGAGCAACTAAGCAACGGAGATCAAGAAAGTTAAAAGTTAAAAATGAAAAGTGTCTGCTCAGCTTTTTAAGTGCAATCCAGCAGGTCAGCCTCATATTTGAAGCTTTTGGTTCAAGAATTCAGATTACACAACATACCAGTGGAGACTGAGTCCCACTATTGTGTTTGCATCTCCACAACACTAAGGGTAAATCCGGTGCTCGGGGAGCTTTCAAATGTTTTGGCAGCAATGGGATCTTAAACTGTTCATTCCTACCCCATGACGTTGTACTGGCACGTCTCCATGGTACCAGCACAACAAGTTTTTCCTGCCCAGTTATTTTTAACCAGTATCAGCTCCCAAAGTTTGATGCAACACATGGCTGCAAGCACTGCTGTAACTAAGAAGCTGGTGTAGAATGAACAACAGGGGCTCCTTAAGATGGGTCTACTGCTATAATAAACAATTCTCAAATGGTAACTTCAGATTGCAAGCAGCAAGTTAGAATTCCCAACAGATTTGTGGCTCTCATATTCTGTGTTTAATGCTGAAGAGAAAATTCTAGACCAGCAAACCTTGTAGAAATGCTACATGGGTTTTGTATCTCAATTTACATTAGTCTGCAAACTCAAACTGTACAGTCAAGCTCAAGAGTTTTCATGTAGACCAACTACCAAAACTGAAGCATCAAGCAAGCTTCAAATTCTGCTAAATATAATAAGTAAAGGTATTAATTTTAAATCTGATGTGTAAGCTGGGGAAAAAGCAGTATGGCAAAAGCTTAAGATCTTCCTTTATCTTTCTCCTCAGCTGTCTTTTTCCCAAAATAAAAATGGGAAAGAGCAATGTTTTGTGAAGTAATATACCAAGCCAGTAAATACTTACTTCTGTGCTAATGCTGCATGAATTCTTCTATACATGTAACACTCTACGTACAGCCAAGGGGACTGAAACCAACTTGGTTCTCCATTTCCATTTGGTAAATTTCTTTGGTAGTCCAGGTATCGGTTCCACAGCGCAGCATCGGGCAACTCATCATCCAGAGGGGTCACTGGCTTGTCTGTTTGCAGCTCATTCCGCAGTTTGGAGAGGAAAGATATAGCTCTCTTCTCTGCTTCAACACCCTTCTGAAAAAGTGGAGAACAAAAGTTCCTATTCTGTACCTTTATTCCTGTAAAGACACAGATCAACTGTTCATGGAATGTGCAAAGTTTTAATTGCCATATGAGAGTCCCTGACAAATCACAGCTTGATTAAACGAAATATATTTTGGTGAATAAAGCTCATTTCAGATCCAAGATCCTAAAATGAATTCCATATGGGACTTCTTTTCAGATTGGACTTTTTGCTAATTAGAGGTGACGAGAGTGTTGAAACACAGTCATGTTCAGAAGGTGTTACTGTCTATCAAACACTGCATCAACACAAAAACCCAAGTAAGTGATGCAGTTGCATAAGTGACAGATCAGAAGCAAAAGGTTAGACAGAAAGGTGTTACAGAACTAATCAAAAATAGCTACTAGAAAAAAATTATTTTTTAAAAAAATCGGACAAAAGGATTGAGACAAACAAGCCTCACCAATAAAAACAAGGCAGAGAAAAGGTCTCAAGGGCTAGAGGGGAATAAACATCAGGGAAAACAGGGACCTTACTCTTACCTCACCATGTTCTTCAAAAAATTCATTTTTATGTCGATGCAAAGTATCAATAACTTTTGTGAGGATCTGGGGAAGTCTGTCTTTAATCGTAAAATATGCATAGGATCTAAAAAACAGAGGATCAGTATTTTATTATTGCAGCAAAGGATGAAATTGCTTCAATTTTTAAAAACAAATGCAAGCTCTTTGTACTACTTTGGACTGGGGTAGAGTTAATTTTCTTTAAAGTAGCTGATATGGGGGTTGTGTTTTAGATTAGTGCTGGAGACAGTGCTAACAACACAGGGATGTTTTCCTTATTGCTGAGTAGGGTTTGCACAGAGCCAAGGCCTTTTCTGCCTCACCCCATCCCACCCACGAGCGAAGAGGCTGAGGGTGCACAGGGTGTTGGGAGGGGACACAGCCAGGACAGCTGACCCTAACTGACCCAGAGGCTATTCCAGACCACATGGTGTCATGCTCAGTGGTGGAAATCAGGGGGAAAAGTTGGCCAGGGAGCCACTGCCTAGGCATCTGTAAATTCATGGTGAGCAATTGCTTTCATTTACCTTACTTGGTTTTCTTGGGTTCTATTCATCTTCGCTCTTTTCATTACAATTTATTCTCACTTCAATTATTAAACTGCTCTCAACGCCCAAGTTTCCTCATTTTTACCCTTCTCATTCACTTCTCCCCACCCCGCTGAGCTATGTGGTGCTTTGCTGCCAGCTGGGGTTATAACACATTTTGTATTAAAAGTCACTTGATGTGCCCTTAAAGCAGTGGATAGCAAAAAAAAAAAAAACAAAACAAAACAAAAAAAAAAACGAAACGATAAAGATTTCAAACTGGTCAGGCTCTTGTGCCTACTTTTGCAGATTATAAACAGCAGCCTTTTCAAGGAAGAAAAAGCTGTATGACTGGCCCTGACATAACAGCGAAAAATTGAAAAATTGCACTTAATTCTAGGCTAAAAGGCGACCTCTATTGCTAAGATACCCAGATACAAAACCTGGGAAATGTAAAACTAAAAGCACAGATATCTCCTCGAATTTTATCACGTATCTCATCACCAAGAAACGCTGGCACCATTATATATTGATTTACACTTTCTCCAATCGCTCTTCATGTACGAGAACAATAAGCAGAACGCGGCCAGCCGCACAGAGGGCGCACACCGGCCCGCAGGAGGATTTTTACTGTGACATTTCTACGCGCCGGTTGGAGCCGCGGAGCCGGGCAGCGGCAAGGGGAGCCCGGCACCGCCGCCGACCCCCCCTCACGGCCGGGCCGGGCCGGGCCGGGTCGGGTCGGTGACTGCGGCCACAGCGCCGCCTACAGGCCCCGCCGGCGCTGCTGTCCCCGCCCGCCTCCCCGGGCCAAGAGCCGCCCCCCGGCCCCACCCGGCGCCCGAAAACCTCCTCTCCCCGGCGGCGGGGAGCCGGACGGCCCCTCAGCTCCCTCCCGCCCCCTGCCTCGCTGCCGGTGACGAGCGCGTCAGGCCGTGACGGACCCCTTAAACCTGCCCGACAGGGACACCGGGAGCGCCGGTACCGCCGCCATCTTGCTCCGCCCCCCCGCGAGCCGGCGCACCGCCCTGCCCCTGCCCCTGCCCCCTCCCGGAAGCGGCCCCGAGCGGCAGCCGGACGTTATTGGCGCGCGGGCCGCGCCCCGCCGCGCGGCGACGGACGGGCGGGGCGTGTCGGCCCGCGCGTCCTGGCGGGGCCCGGCGAGCGGTGGGCGGGGCCGCGGCTCGCGCGGCGGAGAGCGGCGCGCCCCCTCCCCCAGGTCAGTGCTGGCGCGCGGCGGCGGCGGGAACCGCCTCGCCCCTCCCGCCGCGGCGGCGGCGGCGGGCGCGCGCGCGGGGCGGGGGAAGGGAGGGGAAGGGGGGCCGGGCCGGGCCGGCGGCGCAGCGGGTGCCCTTGGCGGCCCCCGCGCCGGCCGGAGCTGCGGCGCAGCCCGCAGTGCGGCAAGGGAGCGGGGCGCAGCCCCTCCTGGGACAATCCCGGGGCCGCGGGGCCTGCCGCAGCGCCCGCGGGAGGGCTGTGGGCGAGGCGAGACGGCCTCGCCCGTCCTTCCCGACACCTCCGGCGGTGCCGCGGCCGGGAGGGCCCCGCTCCGTTCCTCGCGAGGAGGGCGCAGTTTCGGGGCGAGTGCGAGCTCCGTCCGTGGATGTAAGGGGCGATTCCCAGCCCCGTGCCTCCCCCCACCCAGGATGCCGTTGTGTCGGCCGGAGCGGGGCGGCTGCCGGACGGCCGCCCCGCCACCCCCCGTGTTCGGGTGTCACCGCTCGGAGGTGACGCAGCACCGGTGGAGGCCGCGGGCCGGGGGTGGGGGGGGCCCGGACCCCGCGCGCTGGCGGCGCTCCCTTCCGCGCCCGCCAGGGGCACTCGTGAGTCGCGCGGGGCGGGGGCGGCCCCGGCGGCCTTGCTGGGCCCGCGCGGGCGGGGCGGCCTCGCCTTCCGATTGGTCGGCTTGCTGCCCGCTGTGCCCGCCCCCCCGGCACGCAGCCAATAGGAGCGGAGCCGTGGCGCCGCTGGCTCCCTTCCCCCCGCTTGCCGCAGGGGCGGTGCGGGCGCTGTTTGCCTTGGAGCCAAGGGCGGCAGGGAAGGGGCGGAGTGTCCCCGGCATCCGGGGCTGCCGGGCCCCGAGGGCAGCCTGGAGGCGTCCGGACTGCGTGGGCCGGGCGGAGCTCGCGGGCCGGTCTGTGCCGGTCCGGTCCAGTCAGCCCGCCGGCGGAGCGGGCCCGCCCTGCCCGTATATGTCGGTGGCTGTGCCGCAGCAAGCCGGGCCTCCCGGCCGAGGAGGCGGCGGGCGTGGCTAAAGTGCCGTGTGCTGAAGAGACGTTGGAAAATAAATCCCAGTTCCGTGCCGGCTGCTCGGAGGTGGCGCCTCCTGCCCTGTTGTGGTCGCCCTTAGTCCCGCTTTCCTCTTGGATTCCTGTGTTCCGCTCCTCCTGGCTTGGCGCCTCTGGTGCCGCAGGTCTGGTGCTCAGGCCCCTCGATGGAATTCGGTCTATATGATCTCTCTTTCCTTGCAACTTACTGTAAGCCTGTACAGTTGAAAAATCATTCCTGGCATTACTGACCCGGGATGAGGTTTTGTTGGCTAGGAACGCCAACAAAACCATTTTTAATCTCTTTCTGCCACTTACCACACACTACTGGAGACTTTACCCCTTGCGCCACCTCTCCACCACCTGCGTTGCAGTTGCTGAGTTTCTCTCAGCTCTTTTTTTATCCAGGAGGTATCAGGCCTTTTAAAAGGTAAATATGCCTTGTCCTGGACAGCATTGCTTTTTAAATACAGAACAACTTTAAAATTAAAATAATATTTTATCCCAGTAAGTATTCCAATAACGGGCTTCTAAATTCGGCAAAAAGGTACAAGGAAGAGCACGAAAAACAAAGTTAAGCCCAATATCAGTTCATCAGGGTATCCTTGTCAGGATGGCTTGTTCCACAGCACACAGTATGATTTGCTCTTTAAATAAAATGTTTATTTGAACTATTATGTTAAATGTATTTTTAGTATTAAAGATCCTCCTTCAGTTTTTCAAAACTATTCTAAAATGGGCAGTTTTTTGAACTAGGCAGCTTGAGGACATTTTGTTAATGACTTGCTGAGGATGGATTTTGTGTTGTAAAGGAAATGTTCTTAAGAAAGCCAGACGAGGGTAGGGACTCGTCACTAGCTTTTTCAGCAAACGAAACACATCCACTGCAGTATTGAGTCTGTGAATATTTTTATTTTATTAGCTCACACAATGTAGTGCAAATATAGAAGGGTTGCTCTTAGTCTGAGCTGCCTGCACAAGGTCACCGTTGTGTTTCAGGCGGCAGGGTGGCTCTGCCGGCAGGCCTGGTGGTCCCTGCAGCACCAGGGTGTACTGGCAGGAGCAAGGCAGTGAGTCGGCTCCATTCTCTGTCCTGTGGTCAGGACAGATGGCTGGGGCTGGATCTCGGCTGGTCGTGGCACAGCAGCTGGAGCTGGGGCTGAGCAGTGTGTGTGTTCTGCAGGTGACATTCCCCTACAACCACGTAGTAATCTGATTGCTGCTTTTATTATGTGTCACAGTGATTCACAGCGTCTGCCGTTCTCTTTAACGTGTGTGCTTGCTTGCTCACAAGCAGTGGAGTTACTGAAAGTGCAGGCTGCTGCACAGAATGAGCAGCCAGAGGAAAAGATGCCCTCTTGCATATTGATACAGCAGCCAGTTCTATTTTTTCACCACTTGTAGCGAGCACACAGATGTGTTTTGATCTTAAAGTGTTTCCGTAGGATCAAAAAAATCTTTTTATTCCCACCAGTGTCGTGTGCTGAGGAGTTCTAACACATGCAAGAGTAGTATGGACCACCTTTTAGATAAGAGGGAAATAATTTTATTTCTTTCCAAAATGTTGATGGATTATTTTGTTTGTTTGTTTTAAATACAGTTCAGAGAGAAGAAATGAGACTGAAACTTCTGCACCTTCAGATGAGATCTTTCCACGCTTTAACAACAATATGCCAATCCCAAAGCTTTAACAAAACTGGATGCCTGCTATTAAAGCTGGATAATGAAGTTGAAAGAGCAGCTCACAGAACAGCAAAATCTTGGGATTTGTGTGCACTGAAACCTGCGTTCCCTTGGTTGACAAGTCAATGTGTGCGACTCAGGAACCAGCATTTTGTCCAAGGATTTCTGTCCACTTTGGAAAGAAATGTTTATTGTCAGCGTGGGGAGGATTTTTTCTCATCCTGGAGACGTTTGGGGGTGACAATGATGGAAAACTACAAGCTCAATACAGAGTGGATCAAAAAGCTTAGGAACACGTCATCAAGATTTTATGCAGTTGTGTCAGCTGGTAAAACTGTCCCCAAAGCCAGTAACCAGCCAGTCAAGAGGCCACCAAAGGCACCGAGGACCAAGCAGCCATCCAGAGCGAACCTGCCGCTCTCTGACATGGAGGTGAAGTATAACATTTACCGTCTATGTGACATTGAGGGACTGCATCAGTTTAATTTCCATTCAGATTTGGGTTTAGATGAACATTTTAATGAAATAAACATAATTAGTTGGTGAGAAAGACTTCATTATTTACACTAGTGTTGGAGCTTTGTAAATAGAAGCAAGCTTGATAGAAATTGGCATGTTTGGTATTTTGAAGGTAAAATGGAAGTTTATTTGCAATGTGTTAACAAAAGTATAGGGAAGATGAGTGGTTTACTATAAAGTGGAAAGGTGAAGTGCATTAAAAATAGTTTTGACCAGTGCTTTCAAATGACATTTTCCATTGAGAAACAAAGTCTAGCTGTCGGAATAATTTAACTTTTTCTACATCTCTTTGCTTTTCCACATCTACCCAGTTTTAAGGTTTCATTCAAACAGAAATAAAAGTGAAAGTCAATAGTATAAAGCTTATATTCAAATTAAGTTTCAGATGGGTAGTGAATGTTCAAGTGTAGCCTGTGTTACCTGAGAAAGATCATTCCATGTGTAGAAATAGCACCTTGATTATCAGACTCTGATGTCTACAGAGGAAATGCAGCAACACACTGTTCAATACTGTGAGGTACAATGAGGAAGAACAGTGCATATTTGTAGCCAGCTCTCCTTAAGATAGTTCTTAGCCAAGCCAGGCCTTAAGTACACTTGAATATAGGATTCCCATGGTGAATCCTGGTGTCAGATGTGTTACTGTTTTCATCAGGCTAAAACAACTGAGTTTCAGGGTATTGTTAGTAAAGTAGTATGATAGGTGAGACTAAAACAAGGACTGTGTCTTTAGAAATAGTTTCCACGTTGCAAAGTATATCTGTTACATGATCTACTGAATGTGAGCAGAGAAAAATTTTAGTGCTTGCCTTCTCATATCTAAGCTTATGATGAGTATTTTGTGGGATAAGCAGGTGCATACCATAGTGTAACATAAAAAGATAGTTATAAACAATTTAGTTCCCACTAATATTTTCATGTTGCTTTGGAAGAGGAAAGTGAAAAATATTAGTCCTGGAACACTATGTAATGCTTCCAGCTTTTTAGTCATGGTATAACATTACATTCAGGGTTTGTTTCTCCTTGGTTTTGGGTGAGGTGACAGCATTTTTGAGGCTTTTAAATGACAGCATAGAATGCAGTTTCTTTGTTTGACATCTTCATATATATGTGCAAGGAACAGGCAGTGCTATTTTTACTGTTTTCCATTGTGAAGAAATGGAGAAAATACTGCCTGATGCACTGAAATAATAATATACTTCCTGAGGAGACTTTTGCATGGCAAAATGCTGGGCCAGAAATTACCTCTACTGTTGCAGGCCCTAGCACCAAGGCCATTGCCTTAGGGACATCTCCTTCCCATCTTTTCCTGCCTCTGGAGACAGCAGTTGCAGGCCCATGCTGAGGCTCTCAGTGTGAGCACCCTGAGGATCAGTGGTGTTTTCCCTCTGGGAGGGCCTGACAGCTGACACCTTTCTTTTGCAGAGCACTTGGTGAGTGAGGTCCTTCCCACCCTCCCCAGCACTGGTCTCCATGTGTTTTACAGAGTGCAGGGCACCAGCAGTGGTAAATTGTTGTACAGCCAGTTTTTCAGGGCAGATAGAGGATTTTCTTGGAAGCAGTTAAGTGGTTTAGTCAGACCATCAGTGAGTGGTACCACTGCTTGGGTAACCTGGTACGATCTGATGGCAGGAAAAGCCTCTGAGCTCACTCTTAATGCTACAGCCATCTAGCATAGAAATAGTTTGAAATTCAGGCATAGACACAGTATTTACCACATTTAGATAAAGATTGATTCCTGTGGTGATATGAGGACTAAAGTTCATCCTACAGGTTTTCTTTCTTAAATGTTTTTGTATGCTAAAATTGGAAGAGATGGACTAAGGGGAGTTATGATTCCATGAGCCTGTACAGTTGTTGGGGGTAGGATGATACAGAAAATGAGTTGTCAAGGTACTTAGCTATCCTTAGGAGCAGCCAGCCTGTGTGCTGCTCTGAATAGAATCACAATAATGCCTGAGGCAGAAAGGAGAAGGGGGTGAGTAGCTCACGTTCCTTTCTAGCACCAGTACAGGTGCTGTATTCTGGGGTTTTTGAAGTTTGCAGGTGAAAGTGATGTAGCAGAAAACATGGCATTAAGGTTGATTAGCCAGTTAACACATCTATTTTAGGATTAACTGTGTCACTGATTAGAGTAGATTTTTTGTCCACCAGCACACATGGACACGTATTTTAGGTGTCTTAATTACAAATTATGCCTAAGCCAAATGTTCTCTATCAAACAAGATTTTTGTAAATATGTAAGTGAAACAGTACATTGTAAAAAAAAAAAAATCCCCAAACCTGAAAGTAGTTCATATCCAAAGTGCTTTTTCAGGCACGTAGCTAAATGGAAAACCTCTGGTTGTAACTAAATGAGAAATGTAACCATTGAAACTAAAATTGCAACTGTAAGACAGAAAGTCAATCCTTTATTGCCTTGAAATGACGAATTGCCCAAGTAATACACTGCAAAACACAGAGCAGGATAGAGGTTTTCAGATTGTATACTGACTACAAAATGAGAATTTGCTCCCTTAACTCTTGACAGAAGTGTTTCATGGCAGAGCATGCATACTTATCATAACAGGAGCTTTTTGGAAGAATCTTCAGATTCAGATGTATAACTGGCACTGGTGATTTAGTGATTGAGAATGGATTTATGCAGTTGAAATTATGATAATGAAATGATACTTTGAGGGAACTGAAAGCAGAGTTCTGTTCCACCGTTAGTTCAACCTTCTAGCACAGTTATGGGAATATGCCTACAAAATTGCTCTCTGAATATTATAATTACTTTGGAAGCTTATTTTCTGCTAGTGGTTGCTGAATTAAGATGATATGTAAGCAAAGCTTTGGCTGTGATGGTAGAATGTTGACATTAAAAAAGAAAAGTTCAAATGTGAGGTGGTGATTCTAATGATTGCTGACAGGCCCCCCGCAGGGAGCAGAGCCCCTCTTGGAGCCTTGCTATCTGACAGTGTATGAGTGCTGCAAGAATGTAACTTGTATTTTACATTCAAGTGTATTGTGGACCTAAATGCCTGCAGATGAGCACAGTTCTTTTGTTCATTTGTTGTTAGTTACATCTCCATTTGTATTAGTTACAAAAAGCTGGGAAGTGACTGATCCACAGTGAGACATTGCTTTCTGGACGTTTTCCACTACATTGTACTGAAAAACAATTTTGTAGGTCATACATGGTATCAGAACAAAGAAATACACTTCAGATGAGTAGTAGAATTTGCAAATCAGTGTGTTGTGACTTGTTTGATTAATCACGAAAATCTCACATCTCCTTGCAAGTCAGTATCATTTTTCCATTTACTTCTTTGAATAGGACATTTTAGTTGTTTAGGTTGTGGGATATTGGGACAAGCTGGCCATGTGTGCTGTTCCCCTGCTGTGAGTGCAGGATGCAGCTCGGGGCAGGCAGGGACGCTGGAGCTGTGCAGCGCCTGCAGCTGGCCCCGAAGGTCGGTAACTCTCTGTGCTGCAGCGGCTCAGCCCGGGCAGTGGCTTGGTGCATGGCAGGGCACAGCGTTTGTGTTTGGAGCTTCTGCCCGATAAACACACTGGGGTACTCAAACTCCATTTATCTTTACAACAGTGCTAACAACACAGGGATGTTTTCCTTATTGCTGAGTAGGGTTTGCACAGAGCCAAGGCCTTTTGTGCCTCACCCCACTAGCGAGGAGGCTGAGCGTGCACAGGGTGCTGGGAGGGGACACAGCCAGGACAGCTGACCCTAAAGGATTTTCACGGTGTTTTAACTCTGTCAGGGGGTGTCCTGCCTCTGGATTCAGTGGTCAGCCAAGTGTGTCATAAGCTGTGGGATGGGAAAGCAGCAAGTGCAGCTCTACTGTTCAAGTATTTGATTGGCTTTCAAGGAAGAGGAGTTGTCTTTGAGGCTCTGTCATAGAGATGTTGTTGTGACTTCACTCATGCCACCTGACTTGTCTTCAGTGTGTGATTTGCTTTCCCAGTTAACAACTGGGAAAGTAGTATTTGTTAGTATATGTATACCAGGTAGAAATCATGGCAATGATACCACAGAACAATGCATAAATGAAAATTGTCACTCTCTTAAAAAAGTCGAAGCAAACAGTTGTCTTATTACCATCTTGCTTCAGCGTTGCCCTAACTCAAATCTCTGTTCCTTTGGCACAGAATCTGATGCAGTGCACAGCCTTTGCAACAGCAGATGAGTATCATCTTGGTAATCTGTGTCATGACCTGACTTCACATGGATATGTTGAAATAACAAGTTTGCCTAGAGGTAGATTTTTGAAACATATTACATGCAATGTTATATCTGGGGAAATAAAATATGGGTGAGGGATATAATTTTTGTAACTTTATATATTCTTATTCTGATAATATCCTGGAATATATCATACTGCCTGTAAAATTATTGCTTTGCTTTAAGATTCTATTTACCTAAAAGTCCCCACAACAAAACCTTTCAGAACAACAGTGTGAGTAGCTCTTGCTCTTATCCTGTGATACTTTTTCCCAACATTACAATTACATTAGAAGTATAGAAAAATTACATGCATGCATAAGAAATAACTTCAGAAATTGACTGATACAGAGAATTTGTACAGAAATTCACTAACTGAGTGTTAGTTTTTGAATGTTTTATTTTAATTAATCCTTCAGTAGTGAGGTAGTGCAGAACATCAGCTGTCAAAACAATTCTGTAGTTTGAAGTGTTGCAACTTCTTTCTGTACCTAGATTTCTATTAATGTAAATCAGAGTTGGAGAGGAAGGCTTGCAAGAGAGAATCTTGCTGACTTAGTGAAATGAAAAAGATACACACATAAGTGTTTAGTTCTAGTAAAGAGAATGCTGTTGATACTTCTTTATTGGGCCAAGTATATCCTGGCAATTGTTGAATGCTACACTTAGGCTTCAGCAAAATAATTGATTCTGGTTTCTATATGAAATATCTCTGCAGACTTGGGAAGGTATGGCTTGGAAATAGCTGCAGTATACTACAAAAGAAAAACAAATTGATCTTATTATAGCTTAAGGAACCTTATGCCCTGGAACAGCTCTGATTTTCATATGTCAATAGTAGAATACCTTTTCTTCTTCCTTTGAAAGAACAGATTATATGCAGCTAGGAGAAGCACTGGCAGTTCATGGGCATTTCAGTAGGGGTTATCAGGAGCCTGTCTGCCTCTCAAATAATAATCTAAGTGCAGTGATACTCCAGTGGGTCTCTTTCAAGCACGAGACTTACTAATGACTGTCTTGTTCAGAAAGATGAACATGAAAGACAATATCCACTAGAATATAGACTTCATGTTTCTTTGTATTGAAACTAACCCTGATTTCACAGCTTCGGGATAGAAACTTTGTACAACCCTCAGCATGACTGTGAATTAAACGTTACTGCTGACAGTTTTACCCTGGGAGTGTCAGTTTTGCCAATTCCTTTTATTTCTTCATGGTGTTTTTGACTCATGAGTACTGTTTATCAAAGGTTTGGAGGAAGTAATGATGAAAGGATATTGGATTGTGCCAGCAGATCTGAAGTGTTGTGATGGTTGGCATGTGCATGTAGCAGTGGTTGGTTACCAAGCCAAACACTGAATTTGAGAGAATAATTTTTAAAAATATTTCCACATAGAAATCTAAAACAGCAGTTATGGTGTGATATTGTTGCTTTGTAGTGTTTTTCCAAAGCATTATTCTTGGTTTTGACCTCTTTAAAAACATTTTAGAGGCAGATCCTGCACCTCCACTTAAAGTAGACCAAATTCTCTTCAACTGTGTGTGTTTTGGCTGGAGTGGATAAATAAAGATATGGCTGGTATTTGAAAAGGCAAATGAGAAAATGTAGACAAATGTTACTTCCATGATGAACTCAAACTTCACACCTAAAATCCTTCTAGTTATTCATCCAATTATGTGTTTCTGAACTGGACTAGCAAGTGGAAGCAAAGTCTTTAAGGGCTCATTCAGACCAACCACGGGGTCCCAGTTCAGATATTAGCAAAAAGGTATCTGGTACTTGGTCGTGTCTCTCTGCTGCCTCAGTCTACCTGCCCTCTATGGCCTGAGCAGTAAAGGTAGAATTTGTACACAAGCAGAAGTAACAACTTTTGATACTACATCACTTGACTTGTGATTTTCCTGAAAAGGCATTTAAATTTTTAAGGCTTAGCTGTTAGGCCCTGCAAATTCTTTGTTAGGTCTTGCAAAATCTTAAATAGAAGTAGGGGACTTTCCTGGTCTAGCTTCCACTAGTGCTGCAACAAAACAAGTCATGCTGGTTTGAAACCACATCAGGACTTACAAAACTGCATCTGTATTAGTGAGTGGCACAGTGGAGAAGATTTGTAGAAGAAGAATCAAACCCCTATTTTGAGAACTCAGCAACCTCATTTTGTAAGTTTGGAGATATTCTACTTGGACTAGCTCTGGTCTAATCCTTTGTAACAAATGCCCCATTTAGTGGTTGGAGTACCACAGCAGCATTTTTTTTATCTTCTCTTTCATTTTATTTTAATGCAAAAGCCCTCACATTTTATGTATTGTTGTGCAGTGCACATCAGAAGTGTGGTAAGGGAGAGTGGGTGGAAGATTTATTTCAAAAGCACACTTCTGATGTGCAGGGAAATGCAGGTGTAGGCTCTCCTGTCTTGGGGGTACACTCTTTCAAGTTTCTGACTGGCAAAGCCAAGTCAGCACAATTTGAGTGCAGATTAATCCTTTAGTGTATAGAAATGAAGAGCTTCCAGGCAAGCAGATTTGACTCTTAATTTCCCTGCAACTGTGCAAAACTTCCACAGTTCTCTCATTGTATGTCCATTTCTGTGTTCTGTTCCTGGTTATTTACAATGTCTGCATCAGTTTTCTCCTAAGTCTTTTGTTCTTCAAGGCTTCTATCTTTCACTAGCTGGAGATTCTGGTGAGGTTCCCAGCAGAGGCTCAGTCGATCTAGAATGTGTTCCCCAGTTCAGAGAAGCAGTGTAGTTTGATATTGTAGTTGGTCCCTGGCAAGCATTTCTATCAGAAAAATAAAATGTGGAACTGGCTGATGTGTTAGTCTAACTGTTGAATTACATGCTTACAGCTATCAGCTGTCATGTTTAGAAGTTTGACTAAATAGTCTATTTTTTTCACTTATTTCAAACCAGATGCTGCAAATGTTTTGGTGGTCAGTACTGAGAAATCTGCAAAAGAAGATGATCCTGGCATGATTTTTTTCTTCAGGTAAGCAATAAATCATGCTCAAAATATTATGTCATTAATCCTAATGGTGTGAAGGAAGTAGTGCAGCTTGCTAGATCTTGCATCATATTACCTCATGAAACTCAAGGAATAACTGTCTAGTCAGAATGATTTTTAAAAAAATCAGAATTATTTAAATGATTGAAAAACACCTTCTCATGATTTTTCATTGAAGTCTGGCTAAAAAGCAACTAGTATGTAATTTCTCTGAACATAGTTTTAAGTTTCTTGATTCACAATGACAAAATCTGCCACTGTACAATTTGAGTATTCCATTAAAATACATTTAAAACAGTATGATTACACTCAGTTTTTCCTTGAATTCACAGGGAAGGGGCTGTTGTATTTTGGAATGTGGAAGAGAAAAGTGTAAGTAAAGTGAAACTTGGTTAAAACTGCATAAGCAAGTGTTTTGTCAGTCTCACAAAGCTCAGCATGCTAGAGGTTTGTTTGGGAGATTGATCTTTCTGTGAAGGAAAAAAGCTGATTGATTCTTCTCCAATGAGTGCAGGTTCTTGCCTGCTACTGCCCTCAAGTGTGTGGGCTGCTGATACATCACCTTTGAAATTCACCTACTTAAGACAAAAATCTGAAACCTTAATTTAGTGAGACTGACAAAAAGAATATTCTTGCAGTTCTACATCCTGAAAAAGTAGATCATAAAAATCTACCTGTGAATGATTGTTTGAAAAGCACTAATGTAACAGAAAGTATGTTAGAAGAAAAGGATTGTTCCATTCTATTCCATTTTAAGTCAGTTATTAAAGACTTATGTTTGTACAGCTTTGAAAGAAAAAAAAAAATAATTATAAGCAACTCATTAATACTGTCCTGTGTTTTTACCAGCCAGCAATTTTCCTGACGGAAGTTTTTTATTGATTGGTATAATTATTAAATGTGTTGCTGACATATTATATTTTGGTGATCTTTGCTGACCTAGAAGGGTATGCCAGAAGCATATCTATTCTAATGAATACATTTATAGTTATTTAATGTTTTAAATGTATTTTTATTACTGTGGTTAAGCTGGATTCTAGATACAAAAGTATTGACTTTATCTGTAGACAGACTATGTGAAATTAAATGATGCATTAAATAGATGATACTGAGATGCATTGAAGTTCACAGGAGGATTTTCACTGGGGTAAATGAAAACACAGAGCAGTTGTTTCCAGATGTGAACAATTTCTGGATTCTTCTGTTTCAGAATTGAAATGTTCCCGATTTCCTGTCTGTTTTGGGGGGTGTCAATGTATCAGGTGTCCTAAAAAAGATACCAGTTCTCCCTTGCCTGTTTGCATGCTATGGCTGTAACTACACTACTGGTTCACAAATATTACTGAAGACCAACTGCTTTAACTCCTGATGATCTTTGAGTTGAACACCTTAGCCCACCAGAGTACTCTGAAAATTCTTCTTTTGTTGTACAAGCTTAAATACCCTTGAAAATTTGAAACCTTGTTTTCCCGGTAAATACAAGCATCAGTAATTGGTCCCTTGCTAGCTTTATTTGTAAAAGAGGAGGAAAATGCCTCTTTCTGTTTATTGAAATCATAGTCAAAGCTTTAACTGCCAAACAAATTGCTCAAATACAGGAAGTGTTTTTATGGACATGCTTTAATGAACTGAAATGAAAGGAGAAAAATCTCAAACTGGTCTGTAGAACAGAAGCTGAAAGTAATTCAGTAGAACAGAATGTAGAGTGTCACTGCAAATGGACAAAAGTACCCCAAAATTACTAGTAGGAGAAAAAAAATGAAATTAACAGACATTTACCAGAAGAAGTAACAAATACAGACTGATCACAAAAAGAAACTTAAAACAAAAGAGCAATTTTAAATACCTGAGTAGGAAGGTTGCACAGCAGCTTCCTTACCAAAATAGCAAGGGCAAAAAGAAAAACCAGCTCAGAGGTTTTTTAAAAGGAAACTGTGTGACGCAAGTGCCCATAATAGCAAGAGTTTGCAGCTAGTGACTCCAGAACATCTCTTCTAATTAATTTTACTGTGTCACAGGTAGTCCCTTCTATAAAATTAGGCTGGGCCTAGAAGCAGTGTGAGGTTTGCAGTGCTGAACTGTCCCTGGACACTGCTGTTTTGCTGAGGTGACTGGCCTCAGAGCAGATGCTTCCTATGTTCTCACCCTTTTTTATCACAAGACTTGAATTGTATGGCGAGTCTTAGTCATGCTAATATTGAATTCAGGATTATGAAAGGAGCTGTTTCAGCTGTACAGTTAAGGGGTTTTTTCAGTGAAAAATGTTACTGTGTTACATAGACAGTATCACCAAAATTCTTGAAAGCAATGAAGAAAGCTAGCAGTGCAAAGAAAATCCCTCTTGCAGGTGATCCAACAGATTTTTTTAGAGCACTTAACCTGGAAAATATGCTTTATGAAAAATGTATAGGGTACGGTTTTGTGCTAAAAGATGAACTATGAGCTTTTATTTTAAAAGGAGAGTGCTTTTAAGTATGACTTAGTAGAAGATTGAACTCTAAAGAATTTAGGCATCAAAAGTGTTTTGTGGTTTTGTGGTTTGGTTTTTTATTGGCTGTTGTGTAGCTAAATGCCTTTTAAACACTCATAGGTGAGTGCTTTTTTTAGTTCAGAATTTGTTCTAATTGCAGATGATTTTTTTGAGGGGAGCCTTGTAGCATATAGAAAGGAACAAGGATGAGAGATCCTAAGTCAGATGTCAAGAGGAAAAAGTTTTGTGAGAGAAAATGGCCTTTCTTCCTGCATCAGGTTTTAGTGTGCTGGAGAATAAAGGAGCAGCGAGATTACTTCTGCAAGTAAAATTGCCCATTTAACCACTTACAGGGATGAACGTGGCAGCTGAAACAATTTTTCCAGATTTTTGTAGTGGTAAAGGGTTTCTGTAATATAACTGACCTCTGGTAGCTGAAACAAGACTACTGATTTAGCAGCAAACTAGTAATTTTATCAGAAACAACCACCTAATGTACTTCTCCTAAAGATTCATTCCCACACTCAGACATCTGCCAAAATCTAGTACCTCTCATTGTTACAATACTGAATACATCCATGTTGCCCTTACTGCTGCTGTGGTTAATCCTTACCCTGTTCCGTGTGTGCACATATAAAATGACATTTCAGTTTTCCCAGATTCCTTGCAGCTGTTTATAGCTACAAATTCTTCTCAAACCACAACTAGTTTCAGATGTAAACTATGTTAATAATAACTTCATTATTTAGCACATCTCTTCATTGTTAGGTAAATAACTTCAGCATGAAGGTTGCATTCATCAGCCCACCCTGTGCAAGTTCTTTGCAGAGTGATACTTTGCTGCATGGTAACTATTGCTGCAACTGTCTCCTTCTTAGATGAAGAATATCATGCGAGTGCTAGAGCAGCATGAAATTCAGCCATACGAAGTTGCACTGGTCCATTGGGAGAATGAAGAGCTGAACTATAGAATAGGAGAGTAAGTATCTTCAGGGTGGTCTGTGTATAAAAGCTAACAGACACCTAAACCAAACTCAAGCGAAAGTAATTCAGCTAGTAAAAATATACTTGTCCTTACTTTTTTTCCAAATGAATAAAATAAAGAAAGAAAACTATAAACTTGAGTGGATAAATGTTTCTGTCTTGGTAAACTTGCAAGTAGTGGCCTTTGTGATTTGCTTATATGATAGATCTTGTAAATAAGAAGCTCCCTGCCCACACAACTCTTCAGCAATCCCAAACAGAAATTATGTATGTCATATCAAATAAACTAACAAGCATTATTGAGATGAGTTTGATTTTAAAGAGGATGCTCTCTGTAAGCTTTCATCATGTCCTTGAGATTCATATACAAAGATGTAATTTCTGCAATTACTTCATTTAGTAGGAAAGTTACAGTTTGATTATTATGTAATGATAAACCTGGCAAGTTATCGCTCCTTGTTAAATTATGTTTTTTCATCATGGGAAGAAAACTATCTCTACAGAAATATTTCACAATGAAAATTATTTTATATATTATCTGTAATTTTCCAACAGCACCCAAAAGCAACCCCTAGACAGGACACTTTTAATAGGAGCTGAATGAATGATGCTCAGCTTATTTAAAGTAACTTGATAAGGAGACAGCTGTTTGGTTTTTCCTGACCATTTGAAAACTGCATGTACTATTTAGTTGTGTAATTTGTGATTCTTGACATGCTTCATTTCGCTTCTGTGTGTTTCATAGTGAGATTGACATGAAAAATTGAACAAGTCTTTTGTCCCCTTTTCTTTGTTCCTTGCCCCCCTATGCAATAGAGGTTTTAGGGAAAGCAGCATCATAGTGGGGAGGGAGTAAGATTGATAAGAGTGACAGCAGAAAGTGAAAACAGAAAGATAACAGAGGAGCTAAAGAGCAGGAGAGAGGCCAGCATCCTGCTTACTCTGAATAGTCTGTGTGTATGCAGCAATGCTACAGTTACCATCACAGCTTGCTGCACTTGCATTTACACCTAGAAAATTTGGCCATAATATTTGTCTTAGACCGAGGAACTAATTTTCAGTATGAATATTGTCAGGTTGAACGTGAGTAAAATGCAAGGATGGGGATGATACCATACAGACATGGCATGCCTTATCTAAATAAACAACTAGCCTTTCTTGCACTGTCAATTATTATTTAAATGTTCCTATGCTGGTGGCTCGATCAATGAAGATGCTTCAATCTTGTCTTAACAGAGGTCAGTCAAAGCTCCATAAAGGACAAATCTTGTTAAATTCTGAGCTGGATAGTGATGAAGTTGTTCTGCAGAAATTTGCCTTTTCAAATGCTCTTTGTCTTTCTGGTAAGTTAAAATTGTTCATACTATGTAGTCTATGCTACAGATTTTGTGAAATGTCATTATAAGTGGGACTTGTACAGTGACAGGCTGGAAAAAGCTTGGTATCTGGTTTAGACAAACTTTGTAAAGAGTGATTGTGCTTCAGATTGAGAGGATTTGTTTTCAATGCTTTTACCATGTTTTCTGTAAATTGGAATTGCTTTATTGAATGGAAACCTTTTTAAAGCTGAACAAAGCACATTAACAAACATGTTTTGCAAAAGATATATGTTCTACTGAGCATCCTGTTCCCCACCTTTGAGAACTATCCTAGGATAACAATGAGTGTAGAGGTCACTACTAGAAACCTCTCAGTAATCTTGAGTTATTCATACTGACATCATTTCCTCTGACAGAAAAAGCTAGTTGCCAGCTAAAGAAGTGATACAGGGCAGCTATTCCCAGCTGGGGAGGTGTATCAGTAACACATATGTGGACCAGAGTCACAGATAATGTTTTGCAGGCTTATTAGCCATGGTGGCAGACAGTGGGAGGCACTGTGAAGAAATCAGGTTCACCAGTCATCCTGCTGCTTGAGCAAATAACACCTGTCTACTGCTTCAGACCTTGAATGATGGAGGGAGTGGGAGTTAGGAACCAGCAGCAGTAAGGCTGTCCTCAAAAAGGCCTTTTAAGGGAAGTCTGGTCTGTCTACTTCTACTGCCTTTAGGGTAAATTCCAGGATTCCAGTAGTATTTTGGGGAAGTGCACCTGTACACAGGAGAGAAACAGAATGCACATTTTTGAAGTGCTACACCATTTCATCAAGGAGTGCAGTGTAAGTAAGTGGTTCTCAACTGTTGAAGGAAAAGCTGTTGAGAAAAAAGCATATTGTTCTCTATAGTTTTCTTATTCACAAAGGCACTGTATGGAAGGGTAGTGCTTCCTAAATGGGAGCAAGGGATTTATTCCCAGGAGATAATGTTCAGTAAAAATAAAGGATGCAAGTATAGTCCCTAGTCAGAATGGCAGAAAGCAGCCTCTGTCAAGTAACAGGTGACAGATGAAATGCTTACTGGCTGTTGTTTTTTTCAAGGGCTAAATTTGAAGTAATTTAAGTCAGTGACTTGGATTAGGCCTTTGTATTCAAAAGATGAGTGTGCAAAATGTTCAGCATTGGGTTTACTGGCAGTGTCCTAGCCAGATGATACTATTGATTACTACCACAGAAGAGTTCATTTTGACAATTAAATCTTGATTCCTTGATTAATTTTATCAGATTGAATGAGGTTAAGTTTTGATCTGTTGCTACTTCTTTCTTGTCTGGGAATCTGTGGACTAAAGAACAAGGCCCAAGTTATATTATCATCTTGCAGAAACATTTTACTAGGTTCAAGCTGAGGCATAGCAGAATTTGTGTTGCCAGTGCCAGTGCTGAACTCAAGCTTCCATAGAACAGAAGGTAGTATCTTCAGTAACAGTACGCTCACCTAAAAACAAAGTGGGAGATTGCTCAGGTTTGGATTGAGCTTCAACAGGAACAGGTGGTATGTCCATACAAGCTAACTCTGGCTGGAGCACAGTGCATCAATACTGCACAAATGGAGAACGAGAGCTGTGCAGGACACTGGAAATGCGGCGGAGGCTCTTGAGGTGCCACATGAAGTCAGCCTGACGCCAGCATAGCTCATTATCTCCAGCCTCCTTGGAATGTAATTTGCAGAGGGCTCACACATCCAGTAGAGCACTTGGGCACACAACTTGTGAGCTGAAGCAGAAACTCTCCAGGATCTGAGCTGATCACTTGGAGAAGAAAGCTATGCTCATGGTGAAGCTGGTTCTGTGTGCAGAGCTGTGTCAGTGCCCAGCCCAGATCTGCCCACTGGTACATGAACGGTGATTGTGTGGTACAAATTGTAACTTGCTGCAAATAATGTCTGTAAGCATCGACATGTCCTGAAGCAGCCTGTTGGCAGATGTAAAGGTAGAATTACTTGAAAGCATATGTACTTCTCACAGTCTTCTGCTTTGTTGTCTCTGTGTTGCAGTGAAGCTAGCTATTTGGGAATCATTACTGGATAACTTTGTGGAATCTATCCAGTCAATTCCTGAGGTGAGGTCTTGTTCCCCTCCTTTTCTCCTGTGTTTTGTAACAAATCAGTCCATATGTAGCTGAGGATAGGGAAAAAGCAATTGAATGTTGAACACATTTGATCGTAAATCCGTCAGTGTAGAGAAGCTCAGAACACCTGCAGAGGGGTTGGACAAGAAGTCATCAGCCTTTAAAGGGCTGGGAGTTCGGTTCTGCATTGTAATAATGTTTCCTATGTTGTGCCACTGTCACTTACTACTGGTGAAATGTATGTGTAACAGGATAAGCAGCAGTTAAAAATCTGGCCAAACACAGAGTGTGCTAACTTGGGCTGAAAACAATGTGCTTTGACTTGAACATAATGAAGAGTTTGAGTGAATTACTTAAAAGTTTTTCATGAGACGTAATTACAGTACAAAGCTCACATAATGTTGTATATAAAATTGAGATTTGTAGGGTTTAAAAGAGAAAACGTTTGGTTTATTACTTTTATATGAAGGAAATAAATGGTAATACATTGATTGTTATAAGGAGAAAGTCTATTAAAAGGCTAAGGAGTGGCAAGGTAAAAGAACACTGTCATGACTTTAAAATAAAAAAAGCAGGAAGGAAGAACAAATCATCTCTTGTTCAGGAAATCACTTACAGAAAAATGCCCCAGTATTTCTGTAGCTACTGATGACGTACTCAATGATTTATTGAGAAGCCTGGATAAACCAGTTGCACGGTGATATTCTTAGAAAGCTAGAGAAGCAAGGCACTAAGCAAACAAAACTGTTAGTAAGTACAGTGTGCATTCTAAGATACTTCAGGCTATAAAACTGTGGACTTCTTAACTACAAGTACATGTTACTTGATCAAGCAGTGAAGAACTTCCTACTTTTCAGATTCTAAAGTCCCGAAGGAAGGTAAAACTCTCTCATGCAGATGTGATGCAGAAAATTGGAGAACTCTTTGCACTAAGGTAAATTCTTTGGTTACACCCAAGACATTGTATTACACAGAATGTAAAAGTTACATTGTGCAATGTACAAAGAGAAGAATACACACTAAGTAGAGCAGGATGAGACAGGGTGGGAGAATTCCTTATTTTGACTGGAGTCTGTGTGCTGTTGACATTAGTAAGGGGACCCATTGGTTCACCACTCACTGACATTTCAACTGCAGGCATTAAGTAGGCAGTATATCATAAATGACCAAATACCACACCCTTTTCCTTTCCATGTATTTACATGCTGTAAATACAGTATCTACTGTTTAAACTAGTAATTACAGTAGATACTGTATTTATAGCATGTAAAGGATACCAGGAGAAAGGTGGGTAGGTGTAGAACTGTTAACTACAGCCTAGAGTCAGTAAATATCTTTTGAGTTCTGTTCTTCCCTTGACTTACTCAGAAACCACTGCTAAGTCATTGTATTTAATGTTTTTTCATCCCTCAAGTGAAATTCGGTCTTTGACAATACAGACCATTACACACTCAAAAAATAAAAAGGAAGAAATCCCACCAAAATCTCCAAGTTAAAAAAAAATTCCTGTTTCAAACGCTGGGGTACTTGAAGGATTGATCAGTAATCAACAGTGACATTCCAGGTATCCAAAGGTTTGTTAGCAATACTTTGAAGGCAGGAGATTCTAGCTTTCAGCCTTTATGATGCTTAGACCATTGCCTGATTCTGAGGGGTCAGCATGCAGTACCAGTCACATTTAGGAGTTCTGTATTGTTGCTTCAGTGAGCCCCAGCATAGTCAGGGACCTCTCTACAGGTATCGAAAATTAAGGAAGGTGACAGGTTGAGGAGGCAATGATGGCATAAGGAAAAAGTGATTAATGTTCAAAAGAGTTCCACAGTAGAGTATTTGCAGAAAAGTTTCAGGAGATGTGACCAATTTTAAATAATCATTCCAATTGTATTTTTACTATTGAAAGGAGATTCTTTTCATACTGTATGTAGAATTACAGGAAAATTTTCTTATTTCATTTAACTGCATGTAAATATTTGCTCCTATATTCACCACGAGGAAGACTGAACTACAGTAGTGCCCATTCTTTTTAGACACCGTATAAATCTGAGCTCAGACCTGCTAATAACACCAGACTTCTACTGGGATAGAGAAAAACTGGAAGAGCTTTATGACAAGACTTGCCAGTTTCTCAACATTAATCGCAGAGTTAAGGTGAGGGTTTTATTGTTGTTTGAATCATCCATGCTCAGATCAGTTGTCTTTGGCTCAGCAGGGTCACAGATTGCTCTGTGAATGTGCTTTCTTTGCAGAAAGTGAATAAATAATAAGGTATTATTTACTCTCCCCTTTTCCAGGTGTTATTAGCCCACTCCCACCTTACCTGGTTTAGGTTAACCTGCCTCACATAAATGAATTATTTCCTGGGCCACTAAGTTAGGCTTTAAATAGAAGAACTGAGAAGTGGATTGTTCTTACTGACATGATCATTCACATCAGTTCTTGAAGGGTGACATAATGTTTACTGCTGAACCAGAATAAGAAGCATGAAAACTACCTCTCCTGGTGGTACAGCAATCATAAATACTCAATTTTGAGGCATTCCAGAAAGCTGTATCTTCTTTTGCTTATGACTGTTTTCATGAGTAGGTATCACCCAGAAACACTTCAATACCTGTAGATGCATATCTAAATTTATATTCTTTTGGGGAACCCATTGAAATAACAGATTCATTTATACTGAACTGCTGTTGCTTGTGCATGTTGTCTTACGGAATTTTCTGTTCTATTCATTTTCTATTCTATTTTGCAGAGGTGTTAACCCCTTTCTAGTTCTGTGTTTCCCTATTTAGTGATCTGGTTCCATTTCTGAAGTCCAGATTTGTGATGTTTGTAATTGCTTGCAGGTAATGAATGAAAAGCTCCAGCACTGCATGGAGCTGACAGACCTAATGCGAAATCACCTGAATGAAAAGCACGCGCTGCGCCTTGAGTGGATGATAGTAATACTGATCACCATAGAGGTTGGTGGGCCTTTCTTCAGTATTAAGGACATAATAACAAGTGCAATTTCTATACTTCATACTTTGAGAAATAAGATTACTGTATTAATGTGATGTACACAGGGATTAGTGTTTGTTCTTTGCAACTTTCAAAGTGCAGCTACAGTTACTTTTCAGATTATCTGATTTATAGTGTAAAGTGGTTTAAAGGTTTTAAAATAAAAATTCACACCAATGTGTTTGCTGTTCCACAGGTTCTGTTTGAACTTGCAAGGGTAGTTTTCTGATGACAGAACAAACTCAGGAAGAAGAAAACAGACAAAACAATAGAAAAGACAAGACTTGGAAAATTCCGATCAGATGCTTCTGGAGAATGATGAAGTTGTGTCTCCTGATAAATCTCTAAATCTTCTGCTCAAATTAAGAAAAAAATTCAAATTAGTCTGTGAACATTATTCCCAGCCACTGTACTAATAATGTTAGAGAGGGCTTAACCTATGGATGAATCTCATGTGTGCTGACTGTATTTGGTGAGACTCTACATCTTTCTCCCTTAACAGTTAAAATGATGCTGAATAAATGGCTACTTTGTGTATTTCTGATAGATGTTTTCTCTCATGTTTACCAGCTCACTCTTGGAGAGCTGCAACACTGTCCCAAGCTTGGAGATGGCATTACCATTTGTTCTGGCATGATTTTAATATATGTGGCAGATATATTTAACGTTATGTTCCATCCCATCAGAAAGTGGTGTTTATACACTTGAATGGGTAGTACTATTTTCATTCTTTTTTTACATTTAGTATTCATTTAGAAGGGGAATCAGTTGATCCTAGAAGTCACAAGGACCTGTAGCAAAATGGTAAACTAAAGGAAGATTCACAGTATTTCTCTGTCCACCTTATCATGCTATCTGATTTTCATCAGTGTAAGTTGCAAGGAGTGAGTTAGCATAGGGTGAGATGTCTTAATTATCATCTAAGGTAAAAGTTTCTTCTTTTTTATTTTTAATCTGTTCCTAATCCACAGAGTGCTACTTGAGAGGATGAACCGATTTTTTTTCTGAGCAACTTCTTTTTCTAAATGTATTTTCAGAAACTGGTACACAACTGCTGTTTTATCACCTCTTTCAAATTCACTTTAGTCCAGTGTATTGAATAAGGAACAGAACCTAAAGATTCTGTTAAAAGTTCCCGGAGCATCGTTAACAAGCCATGATGACTAAATTCTGGCTAAAAATGCAACTACAGTTGCAGTAGCTTACTGTTCTCTGTTCACCTGAGGGAATTATTTCTCAGTGCAATACTGGACTCCTGTTGAATACATCAAATAGACACAATGGAGATAAAAATAAAGTCAGGCACAGCTAGCAAAAACATCTGACTACAAACCCATCCTTTTGCCATAAATTGCAATACAATGCCATGGGTGCCTCTGAAGAATCAGCCGCTGCTCTTAAGTGGAGGCTTTTACCACTGGAATCAGAACAGATTGTAACTGGAGGTCTTGGAATACCTCAAGTTCCTCTTCTCTGAACTGCTGAGAAGGTCTAAACAGTCAGGCCCTGCTCAGGGAAGTGAATTGGTCAGGACAGCAGGGTGACAAATACTTGTCACTGTGGAACTGCTCGGCATCCATAGCCTGACTTACACAGTGTTGTTGAGAAACAGAACATTACATCTTTAATGCAGCAGGAAAATTTAGCAAGCACTATGTTGCTTTCTAATGCAAGGCGAGGCGACTTGGTTTTGAGGAAACGGCACGGCGACTTAAACTCTCTAGGGTCACTCAGGCTAAGAACACAGGCAAGCATTAGTATGGTGGACGGTTCAAGACTTTTATTGTCTCGTTTCGTCGGGTTTTATACTGGGGGAGTTTTCTCTCTACGTCAGGGGGTTTTACTTTACTGTAATTGGTTAGTAAGGAGTCGAAAGTTACTAATGTTAGGGGGGACTACATTCTTGGGTGATTTTTTATCACTAGAAGTTAGGGGGAGAGGAATTCTACTGCTTTCCCTAACATCGCGAGATTTTCTGAGCGCCTCTCCCTGTCTACTACATCACCACTTAATTTTAATAACGGAGAATTAGGTTACATTTTAATTCTAATTTTTCCAGCAAATATTTTTCAGGCTTCTCCCTCCCCCGCTTTGAGGTAATACCTACACTCAAGGACATTACTTCCCATTCATCTCACATTTAATGTTTCAGTGTTTCAACTAAATTGCTAAAATGTAAATATGCAGACCAACTGCATCAGTAAAAGTGGTTTTAACAAAGTCATTGGAGGACTTCTAAATGCTCTTTAAAAGCATAAAGTGTCTAGGCTCGATCATCTGAAGTATTCTCTCTCAGGACTGTAAGAATTACCAACACCTCAAAACAAAAGAAGCGCAGTTACTTTTGAAACTGTAAATCAGTATATCTTGGCACATAAAATCACAGGCATAAAGTCATACTGTGCTTCTTGCCAAGCCCTGAACCCTTCTTACTCCATTGAGTGGGTAGTCACACTTTTTAAAAGAATGCAAAAGCTTCAGTTAGTTTGTATCTGGTTTTTTGTGGGGTACACACGGGCAGCTGCATCCAAGCATGAGGGGCTTTTGTATTAGCAGCTAACTCTATGGAGAATCCTTTTGCTAAATTACACATAGAGAACCAAGCTGGGAATTGAATTCACCAAGAATGTAACTTGAGCTTTCACTGCACGGTATACCAGGGAGTAGAGCCCTCTGCGACCACACAGCACGTGGGAAACTCTCCCTGCCTGCGCTCCCTGCTTCTGCTTCAAGCCAGAGATCCCCTGGGGAGCCCGTGCACATGTACACATGGCCTGACCAGGGGGAAGTTTTATGGCACAGGCAGGATGAGACTCAAGCTCCAGAAGCAACACAAAACTGCCTTACTTGTGAGAACACACCCATCTTTTGCCTGCCTCACCCACCCCATGGTCTCCTGGTGCAACTGAAAACAACCATCATCACCATAGTTTGCACAGTTTGAGTCTTCATCAAAATGGGTCTACTCTAACCAGTAAGGGTCACTTGAGGGAAGAAAAAGGATGCAATAACAATAAATACAGAATATACAAGGAAAACCAGAGAGGAATCCTAAAATACCCAGAACTCTGAAATGTTAACCTTTTTTAAAAAATTAAGACTGAACGGTAAAAATCTGTTCATATGAGCCTGTTAGACCATTCTTTATAAGGATCTCAACTGTGCCAACTGCTTCTATCTGTGCTTTTTCTGTCACATAAGGTAAAGGATAACTTACACACGATTTTCTTTGGCACATCTGCTGGGAAGTTGTCACCAGAGTAGCTATTTGTAAAACAGCAAGGAATGCTGAGAGCTATGACTCAGTTCCAGACCTGTCTTTCTGGGGTGACAGCACTCAGCTACAGAGTCAATCTCTGCTCTCTGCTGTGCTGTTCACATCAGCTCTGCTTGCTGGATGCATGCACACACCTCCCTGGAGCTCTGTCATTGGGAGCTGCTTCCTCTGGAACACCTCACCTGCATGGGCATAAAAATGCACTTAGAAACCACTGCAGTTTGAATCTTTTTTTTCCTAAGGAAAACAACACATGCAAGTACATATATTGCTGTAACTTTATAGGCAATCTCCACTAAAAATGTCGCTCCAGCCAAGAGGACATTGTCATGTTTGGTTTTACCTGTTAAAAATGGGCCGGGCCAATGTAAAGGCTCATTTTGGACTAAGCCAAAGGCAGAAAATAGATGGCTGATCTGCACTGCAAGAACTGTGTTAGTTGGGTTACACTAAAAATTTCTGACAGAGAGGAGTCTCCTAACAAGAAAAACTATGCACACAGTTAAACTATTTCCTTAAATGACATACATTGTACTGACAAATGGGTGGTTATAATTATTTACCCTGGTCTAAATTGCAGCTACTCAACTAGTTTTGTTCACTAGGTGTAGAAACAATTCCTAATATCCCAATACCAGAAAACCAGCTTAGCCTACAGAACAACAAAGATCCATTTCTTCATATTTTCACCTCATACAGCCTACACAAAAGGTGGCTCCCACACCATGGATCTCCTTCACCTGTCAGACCACCAAACCTACTGGCAACAAAAATGTGAAAGCTCAGATCTCCTTGGGGATGAGCACTCACCTATCACAAACATATCCCAACAGCAAGGCAAGGAAGAGTACAGAAGCCAAGGCAAAAAAAAGCAGAGCCATTGCACTACTGCTGCTGGGCCCATACATGAGTATTCCCAGGGATCACTTTTACATTCCTACAATGCTGTCTGAAAGATAGGTGAGACTTGGACAAGCTATGTGCACAATTCTAACAGGGAGGAGAGAGTCCTGGATGAAAAGATTGGAGACTCAGAGCTACAACGTTCTAGGAAGAAACTATTGCAGCTGTTACAACTTGCCACCAGGCCTTCCCACCAGCATAAATCCAAAGTGGAAGTGTTAGAAATGGCAGCTGTGCTAATAAAACAGATTTACAGCATTGGCATAAACTCTTGGTTTACTAGAGTTGTACCCATGTGAAATAGGGTCCCACACCTTCAGGAAGCAATTCCCACGCATTGCCTAGGACATGCAACTCCCAGATCCCCATGGCTTCTACTCCTCTGGGAGTGTGTCAGCAGTGCAGCAGGGAGCAGCGAGCAAAGAGCTCTTCAGAACAGCGACTGTGCTCTGTTACTGTTCAGAAATGCTGAGAAATTTGAAAACTCACAAAAAATCTTAGCACTTTGAGCCTAATTAACATCACTAGAGCTGGTGAGGTTTTGACTATAGCAATAAAAAAAATATCTGCTATTCCACTCCAGATTTCAACTGAACTCATCCAAGAAGACACACTTACAGGACTTGAGACTTGATCAAGTTCCTCCCACGGTTCAAGTGACTTTACTCAGATTAGCAGACACTTCCATCATCCTATTAACACTTATATCATCAGCAGCATGCTCATTTACAATGTAAAATATGATCTTCTCAGACAAAATGCTGCCTCTAATCCAAGTATGTGCAGACTGAAGTAAAACCCAAAACCTAGGGACTCATCCTATCATCAACAGCATCACACCTAACTAAGAATGTGCTCAGATGTGTGTAGCACTGTCTGAACAATCCTTTCAAAAAGTCATAAAAGTGGGAAAGAAATCCTAATCAAGTACTCTAGAAACTCAAGAGGAAAAGCCAGCACATAAAAACTAAAAGCTCAGTAATGCCACTTGATGAGACATGGATACATTTTGATTACACTATCACATGCATGGATTGTAACCTAAGAAACAAACAAATCCAAAAATCTGAAGAAGAGATAGAGTAATATTTTAGATTCACATGATAAGCTGAGTGTCCCAAATTCATCAGGTGAATGCTTATCACTCCTTGCGACACAGGTGACACGTCTCAGGGGACAGTCAGTACTGAGGGACTGAAGTTTGGCAACATTACACTCAACACAGCCATCTTCCTACAGATTCCAACAGGCCTTGAATCCAACAGGATTAGAAACTGCATTATTGCTGGATTCAAGTATTTCAGTCCAAATAAAGGTGATTTACAGCTGAATTATGAGCTGTTAATAATACAAATAAACCATAGCTAAGTTATTTTCTCGTTTCAGAGACAGCACAGAGGAGAATCCCACACAAATGCCAACACACAAGTAAGCAAGTGCAGCATAAAAGAAAAAAAGGGGCCAGAAAGGCTGCCAGATATCTGCCAGAAACACACTGGTTTTACTAAGTAGCCCACTCAGTTAAATTAAAAATTATATCACTTTTTCAATATCTTCCAGGAGAATGAGACAAATCATCAAACCACTAAGCAACTTAAGTTCAAATGCCCATCTACTCTCTTTACTTTGTATTTAGCTTGCAAAACTGAAATGCAAGGGAAACCATTCAGGGGAAAAAATTGCCAAGTAGACTGGTTAAATACACTCTATAAACTTTCTGACACATGCTCACATAGCAGAACTCAGAGAGTTGTGCTGAACTACAATGGACAAGTTTTTAAGATCTCAGCTATTCGAGATGGGTCTTAAAGATTAGGTTCTGTTCAGATTCTAAGTACTGGAGCAGCAGCAGACAGCTTTCAGCTCCATTAAAATTAAAAGTTGTTGGGTTTTGGGATTGGTTTGTTGGGTTTTTAAGTGAAGTTTTAAAGTTTTTAAGACTTCACTAGTCTTAAAAACCTGCACTTTTCACATGCAGTTTAAGCTGAGTAAATAAATTAATATTCATGAGCTATTTGATGCAAAGACTCAAGCTGTGCCTAGCAAGACATCCATTAATTTCAGTGGAGATGGCTTAGTCAGACACATAAAACTGGTCTAATCCTTTATCAATTTAGATCCCGTAGAAGTTACAACAGTCTGGGATGGCTGCAATCATCTGTGGATCTACAAACCAGACAAGATACAAGACGACTCCTCCCCATCAGCACACCTGCTGTCAAGATGCAAAGTTCAAAGTTTGGGCCTTTTTTTCCATAGTATATCTTATTTAATTACCATGGAAACAACATCCCAGGCACAGCTAGGCCCCTAAATGCTGGCTTAAATAAGTACCCTAAAAAAGGTAATAATCATCTGGACCTAATTCAGACCGTTGGCATTGCAGCATATGCTGTATGCCATGAACAACAAAAAGCACACTGGAGGGCAGCAGGAGCAGGGCTCCAGGGCAGGGGGTGCAAAGGAACCTCCTTTACCTATTGCTGGCCAAACATCTTCCCACAAGGTATTCAACAACAAAGTTTCTCTCTGAAAATGGTTCTGTCCATGGCACTGCTCAGCTTACCAGATGTGTCCAGGCTGTCCCTGGACTGATTCCCTGCCTGGAGAAATCACATCCAAGGGCCTCCCAGCCCCTTGTAGAAGACGGCATCCCTGCTCCACGCTAACAGCTCTGACTTAGTAACTTCTGCGAGACCGACAATTTTTTCCAGGTACATCTGCTGGTGTATTTCTTTATGCAGTTTTATAAGCATTCACGTATTATTCTACAGCATGCCTTGGATTTGGATAAAATGCGGCCTTGCGACAGCCACCCTCCCTCTGCACTCCACCACAACCAGATCTGCCACTGTGGGAAGTTGCAGATGTGATTTTTACATACGGCAGCTATATCATCCCTTAAAAAGGCAAGTTAAGAGTATCCCCTTCAAAAAACCTGCATCCAGCTGAACAGACTGCCAGCAGACCCAACCTTTCCACGTTCGTACTCTCAATTACGCTTTTTGACAACTGAACTTGCAACCTCCTATCTGACAGCTCAGCCACGGCGTGCCCAGGGCAGTTTCACAGACACCGGTCGCACGCCGCCCCTTCCCGACGCACCGGAGCGAGACTCGCTATAAATGACACCTGGACAGCAGCCAGGGTGACGCGGAGGAGGGCACCGGCTCTCAGAGTTCGTGCCCGATAGGCCCGGGACACCGCGTCCCGCCGCTGCCGGCCCGTCCCCATCTCCCACATCCCCGGCCACTCCGCGGGAAGCGCCGGGACGCACCTGCGCCCGTCACTCCTCCCCGGCAGCGAGGGCAGCACCCGCCGGCATCCATCGCTCCATCCCACACCCGCCGCCAAGCACCGCCCGGCCGGAGCCGCTCGGGGCCCCCCGGCGGCGGCACCGAGCAGCCTCTGCCGCCACGGCGAGGCCGGACGGGCGCCGGGAAGGCGGCGGCGGGCACGGCACGGCACGGCACGGCACAGCACAGCACCGCCTCATCCCATCCCATCCCATCCCCGCACGCCGCCACGATCCCCGTTATCCCGCAGCGCTGGAGGCGGAGGGGGGTGCAGGGGGGCTACACCGGCCTCCGCCGCCCGGGAGTTTTAAAGGGACAGCGCGCCTCGCTAGGAGGGGAGCAGCGGCTCTGCCCCGGGGGGGCCCGGAAGGCGGGAGGGCCGCTCCCGTTCCCGGCGGTGGGGCGGGCGCGGAGGGAGGGGCGGGGGCTGGGTGTCTCCCGCTGCCGCCACAGCGCTCGCCGCCTCCCCTCCCCCACGGCGGGGGCTCCTCGCCGCAGCCTCTGTGCTCCGCTCCCGGTCATGTGACCCGAACGTAACCGGACAGGAAAAGCCGCCGCCGCCGCCGCCGCGCTGACTCCGTTGTTGCTGCTGCCGGGCGCGGAGACGGCGGCGGCCCCCGCGCGGCGGCACCCGGCGGCCCCCACGCCCCCCAGGTGAGCGAGCACCGGCCGCGCCGCGCCCGCCCCGCGGGGCAGCCCGGCCCCGCCGCCCGCACGTGCGCCTGGCCCCGTCGCGCCGGCCGCGGCCCGGGCTGAGGCGGCGGCGGCGGGGGCGCGGCGGGGCCTGCTCGGCCCTACCTCCGCATTGTGTGTGAAGGGCTCCCCGGGCCCCGCCGGGTCCGAGCGGGCCGAGGGGCTTTGCGGGGCGGGAGGTGGAACTGCCCGGTGAATCCCCACCGGGCCGAACCGGGCCGGGCCGGGCGGCTCCATCCGGGACACGGTACGGGGTGGGGGGGGGGATGGGTGCGCACCGAGGGTAGGGCCGGGCCGAGCCGGAGGGGAGTGGGTGGGTCGCGGAGAGAGAGAAAGAGAGGGAGGAGGCCGGGGGGGGCCGGTGCCGCCCGGCGCGGGGCTCGGCTCGGCCGGTTGAGGCCCGCGCTGCCTCCCTCCCGCCCCCTCCGGCGGCGGTGGCGGCGGCAGCAGCAGCAGCAGCAGCAGCAGCGGGATCCGGCGCGCGCGGGGCGGGGCGGCCCCGCCTGTCCCCCGCCCCCCCCCGGCGGGTTGGGATGGGCCGGCCCTGGCGGCGGCGGCGGCGGCGGCTCCTCTTCCCGTCTCGCGCGCCCTGGCGGCTCCGCTCGCGCTGCGTCTCGCGCGCCGTCTCCGTCCCGTCCGTGCGCGCGTGGCGTGCGCGGGGGGAGTGGGCGGGGCCATCGGGAGGAGGGAGGGGCGGGGCGCAGCCAGTGAGAGCGGCGCGCGGCCGCCCGGCCTTCCGCCCCGGCGGCCAATGGGAGCGCGCCGTCCGCTCCCGCACTGGGGCCGAGCGTGCTCCGGGCATGGAGCGGGCGCGCGGCCGGACACGCCCCCGGTCCGGAGAAGGCGGGAGCGCCCCGGGGGCACGGGGGGTGGGAGGCACGGAAGGCCCGTCCCGGCTCCCCGCCCGCCGCCCGGGCTGAGGGCGAAGGCCGAGCGGGCGCCTGCCGCCGCTGCGGGAGGCGCGGCGCGTCCGTGAGCGGCCGGGGCCGCGCCGGTGCCCTCTGCCGTCGGAGCGGGAGCAGCGCCGCGGGCTCGGTGCTGTCCAGGTTCGCTGCCCGGTGTGCGAGGGCAGAGCGGGAACCGCCGTGCCCGAGCTGCTCCCTGCCAGCCCCGTTGGCTGCCCGTGCCCGGCCCGGTCCCGCGGGGCGGTACCGGCGCTCCCCCGGTGTTATCCTGGGCCGGTGCCGCCCCCGTGTCCCGGCGGGGCCTCCCGAGCGAGCGCCCGGCCCGAACGGGCTCGGCCCCGCCCGCGTGGCGGCTCCGGCAGCGCCGAACGGATCCGGTAACTTGCAGAGGCAGAGCGGAGCCCGCCAGGGAGGCACTGTCCCCACGGGTCTCAGGGCACAAGAAGTGTTTCACACGCTTGTTGCATCGGTCAGCACTGAAATACCGCCTTGCCGATGTTAGTCGCCGCTTCATTGAGCTCGGGGTAAAATTCCTGATCACACGCATGCCTGTAATGTGCAAAGCGCTTTCCTCGCTCTTCTCATCTGCCCTGTCATTTCCTTAGAGTGTAATTACTGCAGTGCTTTTAGCTAGAGCGCTTAGGTATCATCCAGATACATGCAAAACACAATGTTGTGCACATGTATCATTTTTTTAAAAGTTCAATTCAGGTCTTTGAGGAAGGGCTTGCTGTTCGGGGTAAGAGTGAAGCTCCAAACTAAACACACTTAGGACGGTGATAACTAGAAAGAATGCTTGTCTGGCTCTGAGTGCCTTCACATCGGTGGTTTGCTCTGCTTGGCAAGTTTTATTGTCCAAGTGCAAACCAGACTGAATTTTAAAAATGTAAAACACATAATTAATCAAAATTAGAGGTAAAAAAAATCTAGCGAGTTTTCTGTAAATCACCCACATGGGGCATCTTGCAGGATTAAATAACGCCAAACATGATTTTTGTTCCTGCTGACAGCAAGTATTCCCTCTTGTGGAGAGAGAGAGAGAGAATCTTAGCCTATTGTATGTACAAACTTAGTTATCCAAACATTAGTTGAGGGAGGAGAATATGTAACTAAAGAGAGCTGAAGCCTAACTTCTTTTTCTCTTATTGACTGTAAGAAAAAAATCAGCTGTATCTTACACTGTATTTCTTTCTTTGTCTTTACACCCCTGTCTCCAGTGCGTTCTGATCTCATGTGAATGCGAGGGAATGCATTTGGTCCTGGTTATTCCTTTAAATATGAGGGAGTTCTTCTCTGTCCAGCAAGCAGAAATATTTGCTTCTCCAATGACTAAACATACTGGCATATTTCTGTTCTCTTTCCCAAAAAGCCGTGCTCTTACTGTATAAAAGAAACTAACTGTCTAAACCTGACTTAAATTCTGGTAACTTGCTGTTAAGTTTAGAGGGGAAAACACCCAAGACTTTTTACAAACTTTTTTATCCACTTCTAGTTTCACCTTCCCTTTCTGTTCAGTTCTGGTTCTGTTCTGGGCATTACAAGGCCAGGAATTTTGTTGGCTTCTCTTGCTGTTTTATATGTTTATGTACAGATTTACAGTGCTTCATACTTTCACTTTTGCCCAAAGCTCTATTTGCTTTGATTAAGTTTGTTTCCACTTGCTGATCTTACTAGCCCTATATTCATCCATCCATCCATCCATCCATCCAGCCATGGGTAACTGTCCTGATGTGTTTTCCTGTGTGTTTTTTTCCCTCAAAGTTACCAATTTTTACTTCCAAGACTGCCCTTGAATCCTTGAGAAAAGGTTTAAAGCCCTTAGGTAGTTCTTTGTGGGCAGCCTCCAGCACCTGGTACCAGGAGGTGCCCAGGAGGGTGAGGGGCAGTGGAAGCCCTGGCCTAGGGGGGCTCAGTCAGTGCCACATTGCACCCCTGGTTATCCTGCCTGGTGGGTGGCCAGTGGCCAGCCATGGACAGAACTGCACCTCCCACCCTTTGAGTTTCTTGATTTTCTAGGCAGGCATGAGGCATGCAGACTTCTTAAAAATGCTGTTGTGGCTGCTCTCAATAAATAGATCAATAGTTATTAGGTGAAAATGTTGACCCCTCCTGTATTGATAGTCCAGAGGGCTTGCCAATACCTAAAATGAATTCACTGTTTGAGCCTGGGAAGATTCAGGTATGTATCTGGTATTTCCCAGGAGAGGGCATAACCATAACAAATGTTCAGTTATTTAACGCTGGCCTTGGATTCAGCTGGATGGACTCATAACTTTTAGGTAAAAGATACACAGAGACACTGAAATTCTAGGTTAAAATTATCTAACTTGTCTTTTATTGGGTTGTGTCACTCCCACTTGTGTGAGTGAGTGACTGACATCAGAAAGGAAAATCAGTTTTCCTATTTGAGCAGACAAGTGGCAACCAAAACACTTTCTTTTTCCCACTCTGTATAGGTGTTTTTACTACTTGTTAATATATCTTCCTCTTCCTTAGCTATTTATATTTCTATATCCAAGTACTCACACCATGCCTTTCCAGAACAATTTGGTCCTGGTTCTCCTTTGCTCTTTAAGCCTTGGCAAATCACTCACACCTTTGTGAATCACATTTCCCATCATGAAAGAGAAGTCCTTGCCTATGTGTAAGGTATCTTTTTTACAGTAACTTGGGATTAAGATGTGTTACTAAAGTATGACATCTGGATATTGGAGAAAATATCTGTTATGACACAGCTACTGTTGCATCTGTGCATCTACTGTAAAGTTTTACATGCAAGTCATTTGCTTTTCAGAGTATAAAAAAATGGATTTGGCCAACCATGGACTTATTCTGCTGCAGCAGCTAAATGCTCAGAGAGAGTTCGGTTTCCTGTGTGACTGCACAGTTGCCATTGGGGATGTCTACTTCAAGGCACACAAATCTGTCCTCGCTTCTTTCTCCAACTACTTCAAGATGTTGTTTGTTCATCAAACCAGGTAACTCTAAAAAGGTTCACGGTTTAAATGTTGTTCAGTTAACTAAGCTAAGGGAGTCTAGCAACAAAATGTTCTTTTTGCTTCTTGTTAGGACATAAAGAGCATCTTAACTGCAAACAGTCTTAACTGCAAACTAGAACCTCACTTTCAAACATATTAAAGTTGAACTGTGATTCATTAACACTAATTTTATAATTAAGCACAAGTTCTTTATCCTTAAAAAAGCATAGAAAATTTAATTTCTACAATTGAATACTTCAAGAATCCTGTCTTCTCTGCTGCACTTTCCTTCCCCCACTCACTGTCTTCTACTCTGTCTTGACACTGTTCTTGACATTTGTGCAATGTTACATACAATCCAATAAGTACTTGCTAGGAGATTTTGAGAAATAAACTTACAAAAGAGGTATATGTGTTTAATTTCTTTGCATTTTATTGTCAATTAAATAATAGAATACTATGTAATGGTGGAAAATAAGGGGGTTTGGGGTACTTTTCTTTCAGTGTTTTTTTTTTAATTATTTCTGTACCACAGGCTTACATTGAGGAGATAATTGAAAAGATCACAAGAGTGTGAGACCACTTTAAAGATTTTTTTGGTCTTTTTCCAAAATACTTGACCTAACTCAAAAGTTAAAGTGATTCACACTTAACTCTTTGGCTAAGAGTTCTTAGCCAGAAGTGAAGTGCTAGGAGAGAAGTGCATTTGCATTTCTGAAACAGGACTGCAGGCAGATGTTGTCAGTCTTGATGCTCCATCAGGAGCGCACAGTCATCTTTGAAGGACAGTATTGCAGGTTTACTTTTGAGTCACATATCTGAATTCAGAAGCGGTCACAGAGAGAGCTCAAGAAGGGTGCACCTCAAGAAAGAGAAGAATTGGCTATAATTTCCTCCTCAGCTTGGTAGCCTACTGTAGTTAGAGCATTCAGACCACAGCACGTAATCATGCCCATTTCTGAATTTCTGTGGTTTATTTATGTTTGTTTCTAATAGAGGACCTACAAATACTTATGAAAAATAATTAGAATCCCAGTTCCTCTCGTGTTAGCTAACTGATCTCACCAGGATGTTCCCTGTTTCCTTTCTTGTTCTGTGAACCTTGCCTTACTTTCTGCACAGAGATACAGCCTCAGCTAGAGCAGTGGTGGCTGTCTCAGTCCAGAGCATCATAAAGGTTGATGCATAGGGCACACTCTGAGCTGGAGGGTGGTGTTGGTTTCAGTCCTCTTGGGCTGAAGAGGGGATCACAGCCAAAGCATCTCCCTTTGAGTGCTCTAATCAAGGGACTGCTACGCTGAACAGGCAGTCCGCTGGTGCTGCTGTTTTTCCCTCCCTATTCAAGGAAAAAATCTGCTGTTCTGCTGTGTACAAAACCTGGATTCCAGGGGCTACACCTGTTGCATGAGATCTCTGGGTGAATTCACACTCTGTACCGCATGGTTTCTGGATCATAATGCACTTGTGACAACACAACACCACACATTTGCAGAACTGTAGCTGTAAACCCTAGTAGGACATAGAATCCCAGCAGGCAGGTGGCAGATGAATTAGGTGTTTTCAGGACTAAATACTGAGAAAAGTTTATTGGACTGTGAATTTAGAGTCCCGTGCTAGCAGGTTGTAATTTAGCTACAGATGTGTTTGAATCCAGCCAACAAAAGGGGGAAAATGTCTTTGCAGTTTACAAAATATATTAATATGTGACAACACATTTACACAACATAACAGCAATTTAAAATGGTATAGGTCGCAATGGGACAGCTTTGCTTTCAAGCCAGTTACTTCACTGAGGAAAGAAGTCATCTTTCAAGTAGCTCCTGAGATTAGCTCTTTCACAGTAAAGCATTTCCCTTTATATTTATTGCAGATTCTGTCTTTTGAATTTAAGTAGAAACCTCCTATTTTTATCAAGGCTTGAATAACCTAGAACTGGGAAAAAATCTTTTCCTTATGTCTTATTTATAATTTTGTTTCACCTTTCAGTGAATGTGTCCGTTTGAAAGCGACCGACATACAGCCAGATATCTTCAGTTATCTCTTGCATTTGATGTACACTGGGAAGATGGCACCACAACTCATTGACCCAGTTCGACTAGAACAGGGAATAAAGTTTCTGCATGCATATCCACTAATTCAAGAGGCCAGCCTTGCAAGTCAGGGAACTTTTTCTCACCCAGATCAAGTCTTTCCATTAGCATCTTCATTATATGGCATTCAGATTGCAGATCACCAGATAAGGCATCCCACTAAGGTTACGTCAGCGACTGACAAACTTGGGCGAGAACCACGGCCTCAGACATCCCGGATGAGCCAAGAGCAGGCTTCTGACGGCTCACAGCTCTCGCAGTTGGGTGCAAATCTGCCACAAGTGTCCCGGACAAATATGTCTGCTTCTGACCCATTGCCATCTTCTCTGTCTCCGGAATTGGTATCTGCTGCTGGTAATAATTCACCTTCGGGAGAAGAGGCCAATATGGAAGCATCTTCTTCAGATGAGCAGCCTGCCTCTCTCACAATAGCACATGTCAAGCCAAGCATTATGAAAAGGAACGGAAGCTTCCCAAAATACTATGCCTGTCACCTCTGTGGCCGCCGGTTCAACCTGCGCAGCAGCTTGCGGGAGCACCTGCAGATCCACACGGGAGTTCCCTTCACATCTAGCCAGCAGGGAGAAAGTAATATTTCTTTGTCTCTTTGTAACAACACGGCTGATAAAGATGCCATGGAAGTGCCTGAAGCGGGGATGATTAGTGACAGCGAGCTGCAGCAGATCTCAGACTCCCCAATAATTGATGGGCAGCAGCAGTCAGAGACGCCTCCCCCCTCCGATATCGCAGATATCGACAACCTGGAGCAGGCAGATCAAGAGAGGGAGGTAAAGAGACGGAAATACGAATGTTCCATCTGTGGTCGCAAATTTATTCAGAAAAGCCACTGGAGGGAGCACATGTACATACACACGGGCAAGCCCTTCAAGTGCAGCACTTGTGACAAAAGCTTTTGTAGGGCTAACCAGGCTGCCCGACACGTGTGCCTAAACCAGAGCATGGACACGTACACCATGGTGGATAAACAGACTCTGGAGCTCTGTACCTTTGAGGAAGGCAGTCAAATGGACAACATGCTTGTACAGACCAACAAGCCCTACAAATGTAACTTGTGTGACAAAACTTTTTCAACTCCCAATGAAGTAGTCAAACATTCGTGCCAAAATCAAAACTCTGTCTTTACGCTAGAAGAAGATCGCTCCATTCTGTTAGGTGGTGGGGACACAGAAGCCACAGAGACTGATAACGCAGTGTTAGCCTCCATCAAAAAGGAGCAGGAAGCAGTGTTGTTAGACTGAATGTGAAACCTATATCAATTTTTTAAAGTTTCTTTACTCATTTTTTATTAAATCAATTTTTTCCTCCCCCTACCTCTTACCTCACTTACCCCTCCCATCTTTTCCAGCAACCTCCTTCCCACCCTTTGTCTTCAGCAACCAGAACTGTACTGGCACATTAAGGAAATTGGACTTTGCCTCTCCCACCAAAACAAACAAAAAGCTCTTGCATCAAACCACAACAAAATTGATTTTAATACAAAGGAACATGTGGAAAAACGATCCAGCTAACTATGTTGATAGTATTAGTTATTCCAAATTTAATAGATTTTAAACAAAATTTAGATTGCTTTAAAGTGTATTTAGATACGATGATGAGTGTAATCAGAAACAGAGTATCAGTTTGGTAAGCCAAGGATATATGTATTTTAGTTTCCCTGGTAGAAGGCATTTTGAGATCTGGCAGATTAAACACCATGCTCTTTACAAGTCCACATGCAAGTTGATTAAGGTTATAACCTAAGCCCTCAGAACTTTTCCTCAAGGAATGCAGGAATCTCTGTTCATTGAGTTAAAAAGAGTTGAGGGTGTTGGTTTTCTTTTAGCTGTATGTTTTTCTTCAAGTATGCCTTTGGGTATCTGTTTCAGAGTCAAGCCAAGTCGTTACTTAGTCAAATTCTGACTTAAGTAGCTGTAATAGTAATGTGATGGCAATCTTTATATATATATATATATAAATACTGTATATGTATAAAGATTTATATATATATAAAGTGTCTGTGTGTATATTTGGTACAGGTAAATAAATGCACACATCCTTTTTAAGTAACTGGCCGTCTGCTCTCAGATTCAGCCTGGAATGTCTTCTGGTTGTTTGACAAAGCTAGTCATTGCACAGGTTGCTTTTAGCCAAATTTGAAACGTCCTGAGCTGTGTGCATTTTTATTGACCTGTTGAAGAGAAGCCAGTAGGTAAGTGTTGTCACCCAAGCTACCAAGGAAACTAGAGAAGTGGCATACTGGTGAGCACTGCACCATCATTAGTGAGCACATGCGTGTGTTGTTAGCTATACAGAGCTTTGAGTCATTCTGGATGAAAGGAGAGAGAAAAAGCTTTATTCCCTTACTCAGGCAAGGAATGTCCATGATTTCATTTGGTCTAATGGCATGAGTTAAGAGGAAGGAAAAGCGGTGTTATAGCAACAGGTGATCATGGTTGTTTTAAAATGAATCTGTAGTGCTGGCTGGGAAATTCTGCTCTATGAGAGTCCTGTTATTTTGAAAGCCAAGACAAAGCCTGCAAAAACTGAAAGGGTGAATTCTGTAGTTTTAGTTACTGCTGATGGTAGTACTGCATCTTTGTGTTAAAAATCAAGTTGTTGATTTTTATTATTTTATATAGATGCCCAGATTTTTTGCTGGTAGCCTAAAAACCTAAACTGACAGCAGCAGTGAAGCCCACTGAGCAATTACTGGGCCAACAGAAGGTCTAAGTGGACAGAAAAAGTGCCCCATCATAAATGGAGACAGTGTGTGTTTGGGGGGAGGGGTGGGAGAGGGCAAGTCACAAACCACAGCTCTTCTCTGTGTATACGTTTAAACTGAATATCATCTTTTTGTGTATAGTTAAGTTCTCAGATTTGTAAGTTTTTATACATCATTTCATTGAATAAAAACTGAATTAAATGGGATATGATTTATTGAGTTGAAGGTGAAAGGTTGTTGGTGTTCGGTCTTCCTGGATGAGCTCTTGCTGAATGAGTTTAAAAGCCAAGCAGTGTATTCTGTTTATCAGACTAAAACCTCCATCACACATGTGAACAATGAGCTTACTAAAACTTGAGGTGGATTTAGCACAAAAAGTCTCTACATACTAGATTTTTTCCCAGTTTATTATAATGTGACCATTATTGTAAAGTTTATTGTAAGTGCTGTTGATTTTATTTTCTCTCTTTTATTAGAGTAATAGGTTTAAAATCAATTGACTTCAAAGTATAGAAGTCTTTTGAGGTAAAAAAATAACATCTTAGAGAATTATTTTAGTGCTGCCCATTTTAAAACTTTAGGATCCTCATCTACCAGTATAATTTCCTTAAATGTGGGTTTTATTTCATCTTTCTTAGTCCAAAATGCTCTGAGAATAGAAAAACAAAAGAATAAACCTTTCCTAGTTCAGGTTAACATCAGCTTTTGAGATATCTGTGGTTTAGGGGATAGTCACAAGTTCATTTCCACAATGACTGAAGCTGCTAAAGGTGCTACCACCTCAGCTGTTAGTTACTGCTTAGATGCTTTTTTTTTTTTTTTTTTTTTAAATACAATGCTCCAGTTCTGCTGTGGGGCAAAGTACAGCAGTTCAGCTCAACTCCCCAGATGGCTGGTTGTGTAAGGGTGCATGTGGCCACAACATTTATTGTGAGACATTATTCCTGCTCTCACTTCTCCACTGTTTGGACATCATGATGTTTTCTAGGTTATGTGTTGAATGGACTCAAGCAAAAAACAACCAGTCTTAAAAGAAGCTATTTTTCTGTCAAACTTGTTCCTTATTTTAGCTCTGCAGAAGGTTTTGAACAGTTCACAGATTGTGCAGAGACAGAGATGAGCTGGGAAGAGCCTTACTGAAGCCAGCATTGCTGCTGGCAGCACCCAGGCTGTAGAAGATGGGAAGTGGTGACTCCCACTCGGGCAGGCAGCTCCTCTGGAGGGCAGAGTGGCCTTGCAGGCTGGTGTGCTGCCCAGCAGGAATGAGCAGGGTGGGGCAGGGAAACAAGCAGCCATGGAAGGAGTTGGTTGTGATGGTCCTGTTGCTACAAGGAATGTGAAATTGCAGGCTCAGCAGAGATACTTTCACCTGTTAATATTTATTCTTATGAAATAACACTGTCAGGTAAAGAGAAAAAAAAAAGCCACAATAAAGAGACTGTTTTAATATGTGTTGAGCTATGATAATGGTTTCTTTTAAATACCCTTTTATTGTCTGATGCTCCATTGGGATATTTAAGTCATTGACTTTCAATTTCATGAGCAGTTTTGTTCCTTTACAACATATTAGAAACAGTATAATTCTGGTTAACAGCAGCATCAAGAATTTGGGAAATTGCAGCACAAATGCAGTTTTGCTCAAGCTTCTTTTTCTAAACCCTCTGAATTATTGTTACAGTTAGAGATAACTCCGGGGTCTGGTTTTCAGTTTGACTTGGAGATTTGTGACTGAGTTGCTCATTGCTCATTCAGTCTGCTCACCTGCTGAAGTTGTGAATTTTCTACCAAATAAAAGCAGACATCTTAGCAGGAACTGCTGAGAAGTTGGTGAAAATCTGCCATCATTCAAGGCCGTGGGCTGGAACTTCAACTCCATGTTTTTCCAAAGGAATATCTTCAAAGGTAATTTCCTAGGCATGTCACTTGACATCTCTGCCTTGACTTCAAAAGTACCAAACACCTACAAATCTCTCTGCTCCAATAGAGGATTATCACTTCTGAAAGTGAAGTTTCCAGTCCATTGCAGTCAATATTTTTCCATCAAGTATCTTCTCCATCACTGGTCTGATAATCATTCTGCTTCAGCAGAGGGAGAATTTATCAGAAGACTTGTGTAACAAACATTGGATACTTAAAATTGCTCCTGTTTGCACTGCAGAGCCTACAGTTGCTGTCTTGATGTTTAAAAAATCTGGCTGGCTCTTCAGCTCCAAATCCCATAAAGTAACAGCCTCAGTCACAAAAACTTGTGACTTGCAAGAGGAAAAAAAAAAAGAAACCTATTTCATTCTGTTTATTTTAAATAATTTCTTTGGCATTGCAACATCTTTTGCATCTTTTTTTAAAGGAGACCTGGTTAGACTCAAGCAGGTGCTGTGGTACCTGGTACCTGCTGGCATCACAGCCTCTCAATGATTTTTTTCCCAATCTGCTTAACTGGAGGATTATCTTGATTGGGTATTTTGCCTTTGTGGAGAGTAATACAATTCTTTAGATATTCTTGTCCCAAGCACTTAAAGACCAATCAGATTAATTCTTGACCAAGTTCAAGTAAGTTTCCTTGATTGTATTTCCACATCTTTTAATCTTGAAAAGTAAAGGCATATAAAGGAAGTTAATTTTAGAGTTCTGTCATTGATTCTCCTCTTTATTGCTTCCCAAACATCAACAAGTGTTTTAAGATACTTCATAGTTATGAATGATTAGGAGTAATCGGGTTACTTTAAAAAAAAAATTTAAAACTAATTAGATTCCTACTTCAACACTGTAAATGTTACACTGTTAATTACAGCAGCATACTTTGGTTAATGAAATCTAAGTGGCAGACTACCAGTGGTGATGGAGGCTGGCTGTTCAGGTACTCCAGCTGTTACTCTAAGACAGAATGATTCCACTTCTGCAGCTCTTGTTTTGTTCACTTGTTTTTATTTGCAAAAATGCCTATTCTCACTGGATAATGAAATCCCACTCATACCAAAAGTAGAACAAAACAGAGAGAAGCAGGAAATCTTTTGCAACACCATTAATGTGCATTTGCCAAATTATCTGTGATCATATCTAGAAATAAGAGGAATTCACTGTCCTTAAATATGGTCTCCTATCAAGTCTGCCATTAGGAAGGACATATTTAGACGGAATTTGGCCAAAATCACAAAACACATTTCCTGTGCAGTACAGCCCTGGTGCTGTGATGTTGGTGCATCCATGCTCGTGAACAGATCACATGTGCCAAGATGCAAGAGCTCAGCATGGCCTAGGAGCAGCTGCCTGTGACTGTTGTCATTCCTTGAGGAATGAGTGCCAGTGTTTCAGTGCCAAAGGAGCTGCCAGCAGGACTTCCTCATATTCAGCCCATGCCTATTGCCTTGGCCAAAGCTGAAGCCTTCCTGGAACCTTAGGAAATCTGCTCAGAGAAGAGAGAAGCAGAGCCACAAAATGAAAGTTCACTTACTGTACTGCTCTGTGGAGTGTGGAGGAGGCACCCACCACTCCAGCATGCCTCAGCACAGATCCACAGCCTGTATCCAATCTGCTTACTGTGTCAGGACTCATTTTGAAGCAGCTCATACACTTTGTAAGGGAGCTTCCTGATCAATCCATTGTTTCCTTCTATCCTTAATCTCTCAGCCATATGGTTAAAGCATTTTCTATTTTGTTACTACTGTATTGTGCAATTCCAGTTTCAGCAGTGAATTATTTCATACATTGCCGTTGTGTATTTGGGTCTCTCAAATTCACAGAGCAATGTACTCTGTCAATCAAGATTTATTTCATGAGCTTATTAGGTAAAAGTCAAACCAGGCTACTTTTGACAAATTAGTCTGATCTTTCATTGTGTTGCTTCAACAATGCACACATTCATTAACTCAGGAACTGACTGAAGCGCATGCTTATGAGCAAGAGAGTTGTCAGGGTGAGGGTCAGGGTGCTCATCCTTCCTTTGCCTCATGCTGCAGGTGTCCCCTCCATCACCCTGGGAAGCAGGAGAGCCTCAGCAGCCTGGCTTCTGCTGGATCTGCTGCCAAAGGCTTTTGGGGTGAGCTGGTGTATTCCTGTATTCCCAGCTTGGAAGCCCGGTCTGTACCTTTCCTGTGGCTTGTTGCAGCTCACTCCAAAGTCTTCCAGGCTCACCAGACCTGCCAAGCAGTCACTTGTGCCAGGCTGCAGTCACTTGTGCCACTGTTCCTGCAGCCACAGGCACTTCTGGCAGCAGGGCTGGGCCTCAGCAGGGGCTGTACCTCGGGGAGCACCAAGCAGGAGCCAAGCCAGAGCTGCTGTGGATCTGGGCCCCTTTTCTGCTGCTGCCCTCTCATCTCCTGACTTGAGCCAGTCTGGCACCAAATACAGCAGGGATCTGGAACTCTGCTGCAAACTCAGCTCTAGATAATGAAAAGTTAACACAATTAACAGAAGTTAAAAATTAACAAAAGTTAACACAATTTTTCAAAGCACAGCTTTTGGGCAGCCGTGGATATGGACACTGGCCACGGGCTCTCTGTTGGTCTCTGCCAGCATGAAGGTCCCAACCCAGCAGGAGCAGGCCTTTCCTGAGTGTCCCTATAAAAGGGTAAAGTCAGGAAAAAGTGGAAGGTCAGGTCCTTCCACCCCAGCAGTAGTGCTCAAAGGATGTGAAGTGAAATAGTCACTGAAAGTATGTGATTGGCAGGTGCTGAGGAAAGGAAGGGATGCCCCATCACCAAACCAGCACCACTCCAGCTGCTGGCACACAGACAGACATATGCACAGAATATGGAGTAATAATTGTTCAATAATAATAATAATAATAATAATAATAATAATAATAATAATAATAATAATAATCTTGTTCTTCAATATAATTGCATTCTTACACATAATTAATTTTTAATCTCATTTTGAGGCACCTTTGCAATACTGATAACAGAATGGGGACCCAGAACAAGTCCTGATTTGTGCACAAGAACTGAAAAAAGAACATTTGTAGAAACTTTATCCTTGTTCACTGAGTTTATTAACGTTCAAAATTTTCATGGCCTTTCAAATAAAACTGTAGTATGATATTAATTTTTTAAAAACCCTACTACAGGCATAACTTGAAGGATGTAAGTGTTGCTGTGCATCACTCTCTGTCACATAGGAAATGTCTCAGAGGAAAGGGCCACAATATCACCAGTTTTTTCTGAGTGTATCTGCTGCAAGCAAAGCAAAAGCAAAAATCAGCAGAAGGAATCAGCTGAAATACGGATCAGCTTTCATCTGTGTGCAGAGCTGTGCCACATAGAGTGGAAAGTCAACGTGGTGAAACAGCAGCTCAAACTAAGTGGGGAGAGTCTGAAAGAGCTGAGCAGTTATTCAGGAAGCAGCCACCTAAGCTGTGAAGCTGTGATCATGCCTGTAAAGACACCACCTTTCCTGTTTTGGGGTGGGGTTTGGGCTTTTTGTTTTGCTTTGGGATTTTTTACATTATATTAACTATTTCCTCTTAGAAGAGTGGTACACTTACCCCAGGGAATGGGAGCACTACCTTCAGTTCTCGTTAGCTCAAGAGTCAGAAATTTCTTAGCTTGGGATTTGCATTTGTGTCTTAAAAGAGCATACTAGGAATTTGGAAATTGTGGCTGTATTAATGCTTTTTCCACCCTTCCCCCCACCATAGATAGCTCCTCTTTCTCTTAAAGGAGATGTTTTGTGCTTCTAAAAAGAAGTTGACCTACAGAAATTAAAAGTCATCAATTCCTGTATCAATGGTAGACCCTGAGAAAGTCATCTAGTGTTGCAATGCCACAGAAAACATCTCTCTGATTCTGATACTATGCAAGGGAGCGTGAGTTGATGGTTTGCTC